GCTACCCAGGGAAGGGAATTAGCATCGAGAGTGGTGGCAGCGGACCAGATCTAAGCTGGTAGTTAAGTTTAGAAGTTTCATGCAGGCCCCCACATTTGTACCCTAAAGTTCAAAGTGGGGAAGCAGCCTTGACAAGACCATTGGCAGTTTTTCAAAGAGATGTTATTAAGGGCACAAGAGCAAACTATATCACTGTGTAGGAAAGATAGGAAGTATGGCAAGAGACCAGCCTGGATTAACCAGGAGATATTCAATGATCTAAAAATCAAGAGTCCTACAAAAAGTGGAAACTAGGTCAAATTACAAAGGATGAATATAAACAAATAACACAAGTATGTAGGGACAAAATTAGAAAGGCCAAGGCACAAAACGAGATCAAACTAGCTAGAGACATAAAAGTAAACAAGAAAACATTCTGCAAATACATTAGAAGCAAGAGGAAGACCAAGGACAGGGTAGGCCCATTACTCAACAAGGGGGAAAACAACAGAAAATGTGGGAACGGAAGAGGTGCTTAATGATTTCTTTGTTTCTGTTTTCTCCAAGAAGGCTGGTGGCGACTGGACGCCTAACATAGTGAATGCCAGTGAAAATGAGGTAGGACTAGAGGCAAAAATAGGAAAAGAACAAGTTAAAAATTACTTAGACAAGTTAGATGTCTTCAAGACACCAGGGCCTGATGAAATGCATCCTAGAATACTCAAGGACCTAATCTGAGCCATTAGCAATTATCTTTGAAAAGTCATGGAAGACAGGAGAGATTCCAGAAGACTGGAAAAGTGCAAATCTAGTGCCCAGCTATAAAAAGGGAAATAAGGACAATCTGGGGAATTACAGACCAGTCAGCTTAACTTCTGTACCTGGAAAGATAATGGAGCTGTAGTGAGGCGGTGGGATACCCCACAGCCCTGCAGAGGGATGAGCCTCCCCTAGCACCAATGTGGGTGGAGCTAGTGGGTCCTGCGCCCGCCCCCCACAGGTCATGGCGCAGGACAGGAAGTAGAAAAGCCCCGCTGCAGAGCTCACTTGAAGGCCAGCCGCCGGAGAGGCCAGATGCCTGTGACCTAGCTCTGGGTTGAGGAACGCCAGCAGGCCGCGCCTACCCCTCGCCAGCTACCCCCGAGGGGCAGCCGAGCCTACCCCTCGCCAGCTACCCCCGAGGGGCAGCCGAGCCTACCCCTCGCCAGCTACCCCAAGGGGCAGCTGAGCCTACCCCTCGCCAGCTACCCAGAGGAACCGATGGTGCTGGAAACCGCCGAGGACACCGGCCAAACCCAGGTACCTTACGAGGGGGAGTCCGGAAGTAGCCCGGGGGCAGCCGACCCTGGTCTGGCCGCAGCAGGGCCAGAGCCAATGTCAGTGTGTTGCGGTCAGGATCCCCACTGACACAGCAGCGAGTCTTCTGCCGCTGTTAGGGCCCCGGGCTGGGACGCAGTGGAGTGGGTGGGCCTGCGTCCCCCCCGTCACCCCACTCACGGGTAGCAGTCTCCCCCTCGCACCAGACGCTCAGAAGCCTGAGCTCCTGACTGTTTGTTTGCTGACCCGCCCTGACCCAGGGCCTGGGCTCACACTGAACTATTGGCTCAGCCCCTGCCTAAGGGCCTGAGCTCCTGACTGTTGGTTTGCTGCCCAGCCCTGACCTAGGGCTTGGGCCCATAGCGAAGCAAATAATTAAGCAATCAATTTGCAAACATCGAGAAGAAAATTAGGTGGTAAGTAACAGCCAGCATGAATTTGTCAAGAACGAATCGTGTCAAACCAACCGGATAGCTTTCTTTGACAAGGTAACAAGCCTTGTGGATGGGGGGAAGTGGTCTACATGGTCAATCTTGCCTTTACTAAAGTTTTTGATACTGTCTCCCATGACCGTCTCATAAACAAACTAGGGAAACGCAACCTAGGCCTTCAGTAACTGCTACCAGTAGCGCATTCCTATGGAGAGCAGTTTAATACACTACACCTGCTGCAGTTTTTGCAGTTACACCGGCCCCACCCAGCAGCTGCAATCAGCCCACAGGAGCCCACAGGCAGAGAGGGGCAGTGCCTGAGGCCCCAGCAATGGCAGGGAAATGAGTCACTGACACAGACCCAGAGAAACCTGCCCTCCCCCACCCCCCAGGCTGCAGAGGAAGGCAAACAACCCAAGGTCCCTGCCAGTCTGACCTGGCGGAAATTCCTTCTTACTCAAGATAGTTAAGTCCAAAGCAGATTGCAAAGAGTTACCAAGGGATCTCACAAAACTGAATGACTGGGCAACAAAATGGCAGATGAAATTCAATGTTGATAAGTGCAAAGTGATGCAGAGTGAAAAACATAACCCTAACTATCCATACAAAATGATGAGGTCTACATTAGCTGTTACCGCTCAAGAAAGAGATCTTGGAGTCATTGTGGATAGTTCTCTGAAAACATCCACTCAATGTGCATCGGCAGTCAAAAAAGCGAACAGAAAGTTAGGAACCAATGGAAAGGGATAGCTAATAAGACTGTAAAAATCATATTGCCACTATATAAATCCATGGTACGCCCACATCTTGAATACTGTGTGCACTTCTGATTGCTCCATCTCAAAAAAGATATATTAAAATTGGAAAAGGTACAGAGAAGAGCAACAAAAATGATTAGGGGTATGGAACAGCTTCCGTATGAGGTGAGATTAAAAAGCCTGGGGCTCTCTCTCAGAAAAGAGATGACTAAGGGGTGAGTTGATAGAAGTCTATAAAATCATGACTGGTGTGGAGAAAGTGAATGAGGAAGTGTTATTTACCCCTTCTCATAACACAAGAACCAAGGGGCAACCAATGAAATTACTAGGCAGTAGGTTTAAAATTACACAAGGAAGTTCTTCTTCACACAGCGCACAGTCAGTGTAGGAACTTGTTGCCAGGGGATGTTGAGCAGGTTGTGGGTTCACAAAAGAAATGAGAGATGTTCCTGGAGGACAGGTCCATCAATGGCTACTAGCCAGTGGTCAGGGACCTGCTCTGCCCTGGGTCAGAACAGTCCCTGGCGCCTGGGCTTGGTGTCCCTGCTGCTGGGGCTGCAGCGTGTGGGCACGTAGCCAGGCTGTGCCCGGGACAGGCAGAGGGGCCGTCCCACAGCTGGCCCAGGACAGGGTTTGTGCTGGGGACGTGTCTGGTGTTTCATGGATCTCACTGGGCAGGCTGAGCCCTGGTACCCCATCTGCCCAGTGCCCTGCCCTCTGAGCTTCTACAAACTCGGGGGGAGGGGCAGCTAACTCCACCTCTACACTATAAATATTAACAAGGGGGCGTGGCTACACTGCATGCCCTACCCCCACTGCAGCGAGAATGGCAAGGAGGACTTTGCAAGCCTCTACCCCTCCCTGTGCAGGATCCCAGAGGGGCCCTGGTCCGCTGAGCTTTGTTGTGCGGCTGCAGCACAGAGGGCTCTGACCGGAGTGCACCCAGCTGGCCAGGTGAGCAGGAATGCGCCAGGGGCTGCACTGGGCGCCCCCGCACGTTGGGGCATGGTTCTCCCCCCCCCCCCAGTTCAGGCAGAGCCTTCCATCCTTGGGCACCGGGCAGCCGCGTGGAGGAGCCCAAGGCACCATGTGAGGACGGCATCAGAGATGGGGCATTTGCAGAGGCTCCCAGGCCCAGCAGCGCATGGAGCAGGTCGGTCAGAAAAACGACCCTCCAATGGCATTGAGGCGGCCAGAGCCAGTGAATTGCTTGGGTTCGGTCACAGAGAGCTCGCTGCCCCTACACCCTTCCCTGCAGTAGGGATTATATTTAGAAACGTGCTCAAGCCAAAAATAAAGAGGTAAAAAGATTTCCCAGTGGCTGTTTCCGTTGTCAGTCACGGTGACAGCCACGAAGCGCCTGCTCCAACATAACCTGCATAAAACATGCTAGGCAGACAGACAGACTTGCACGCCTGCTCCTTGCCAGAGACCAGCCGGACACCTCTGCCCCCGGAAGAGGAGCTGGGACACGTCCTGCTGGGGCTGCGGGGATCTACTACCCCAGAGGCACGGGGCAGCTGAGTTGCCTCCACGGCCAAGGATCTGCAAACGGTGAGGGGGTTTCTTTGCCTTTTGCCTGGCCTGTGGTCTCAGGGCAGCTGCCAAATGCACTAGGCACTGGTGTCTGCTCCAATTTGCACAAATGGGCCCCGACCCTGCCCTCCATTGGTCTGTGGGAGAAACCCCGGCCCTTTGCCCCAGTCTCGCCCTTGTGTGGCCCTGGCTGCATGGGGAGCAGCTTTGGGCTGGGCGTCTGCCTCAGCTGCCTGTGGTGCAGGACGGGCTCCTGGTGCAGCGCTTTGCGAGCCCCACGTAAAGGGCTTGAGCAAAACAGCTTTGACTTGAACTCTAGCCTTGGAGCTTTCAACCTGGGTTAATCCCTAGAAGAGGAAGCGCAGTGCAGGCTCCCCCCTACTGCCCAGCCACCTGACTCCCTCCACAGGGACCTGCTCAGCTGTTCTGTTCAGGAGGCCACTGATTTCCAGCTGCCCTGAGAGGCTGCTGCAGAGCTAGGAACAGAACTGAGCCATGCTGAACCTGGGGCCACCTCAGAGCCGGTCTCCAGCAGTGAAAGGGCTGCAGCCCAGTGCTGCTGTCAGTGCCGCCAGTCCCCAGCAATCAGTGCTCTTAAAGCGGGATACCGGGGCCAAACGGGGGTTAATCCTGGAGGGGTTTTGCAGCCACAGGCGGCTGATGGGCTCAGGTAGCCTCAGGTTAACCCGCTCCCTGCCCTGGCTTTGCTCTTGAGTCAGGCACATGGCTTTTACAAACACATCCCTGGCAGCAAAAGACAAGCATGGCTGTGAGCTGGATCAGGCATTGCTGTTCTGGGACCCCAGGGAGGAAGCTCCAGATGCCGGCATGTGCAGCGGGACCCAGGGAGGGATGTGCCCAGTGCAGGGTGCCCCCATGCCAGCTTCTCCCAGGTCTGGAGCAGCACAGGGTGCCGGAGTCTTTGGGATGCCGACGTCTGGGCGTCTTCCTCTCTTTTAGGGTGAGCCGATTTGCACTCATGGGTGACTGGAACCTGCTGGGGAGGCTTCTGGAGAGTGCTCAGCAGCACTCCACGGTGGTGGGGAAGGTCTGGCTCACTGTCCTGTTCATTTTCCGTATCCTTGTCTTGGGGGCAGCTGCCGAGAAAGTCTGGGGGGACGAACAGTCGGGCTTCTCCTGTGACACCAAGCAGCCAGGCTGCCAGAACGTCTGTTATGACGAAACCTTCCCCATCTCCCACATCCGCTTCTGGGTGCTGCAGATCATCTTCGTCTCCACCCCCAGCCTCGTCTACCTGGGCCACACCCTGCATCTGGTGCGCATGGCGGAGAAGGAGCAGCAGCGAGAGGAGACTTGGGGGGCCCAGCAGGAACCCCTGGTGCAGCATAAACCTTCCATCAAAGATGTTCATGGCAAAATCCGCCTGCGGGGGGCCATTCTGAGGACGTATATTTGCAACATTGTCTTTAAGATGCTCTTTGAGGTGAGCTTCATTGTGGGCCAGTACGCACTGTATGGGTTCGAACTAAAGCCCCTCTACACGTGCAACCGCTGGCCCTGCCCCAACACGGTCAACTGCTATATAGCCCGGCCCACCGAGAAGACCATCTTTATCCTCTTCATGACGGGGGTGGCCTGCCTGTCTCTGCTCCTCAACCTGATAGAAATGTACCACCTGGGCTTCACCAAGTGCAGGCAGAGGCTGGCAGCCAACCGCTGTCGGGCACCCAACCCCAAGGCCAGCTCCAACGCTCCCAGAGAAACAAGCAGCCACCACATTCCCCACTGTCCTGCACCCTACAGCCTTCCCCATGCCGCTGACCCCAACCTTCCATTGCAGCCTTACGCCAGCCAAGCTGCTCCCTCAGCGGGCGGGGACAGCCGTGCAGCACGGAGCAGCCGCGAGACAGGCACCCAGGGTCCGGTCATGGAAGAACTGTTGCAGCAGGGCAGCAGGTCCAGTAAATCCAGCACTAAGCTGAGACCCAGTGACTTGGCTGTTTAAGGAGGCGGCCCATCCCTGCACTGAGAGCCTGTTGCACTGGCCCAGGGCTGACAGGCAGGGGAAGGGGGCTCTTGTACCAGACAAGCACCATTACCACGAGGCTGCATCACAGGGCGCACAGCTTGGCTTAGGAGCCTGTTGTGTTTCCATGGATACCACCATGGAAATACTGGGCCCATAATACAGACACCAGTGTCCAGGAGCCTGAACTCTGGGCCAGACGTGCACAGCTCAAGCCCTCTCCCTTCAGTGGCGCTGCAGCAGCCTTGTGGCTGTCGGGGGCAGGAGGCAGGGAGCGGGCCGGGAGCCGATGGGGGTAAATGCTCTATACTTGATAGGACGCAGGCAGGGCCTGTAGCTTTTCCTTCCCCATGTGACAAGGCCTCCGGGCTGCATTGGACCTGGGCAGCCCCACTGGCGTTTCCCCTTTTCTGGATCGAGAGCTGCCCCCGCCCTCCCCGCAGCCTGACCTCCGCTCCTGGGCAGTAACATTGCTCAAGAAGGCCCCAGCAGAGACTCCTAGTAGGTGGCTCCTCAGGGCCAAGAGACCCTCCCAGGCCCCAGCAAGGAGAATGGGACTGGACATAGCGTCTGCCACGCACCTGGGGCCAGCTGGGTGTTCCACAGCTTTGCAGGCTGCTGCTGTAACAGCCTGTCAGGGAAGATGGTGCTGCTCCGAGCAGGAAGGCCTAGGCCCCGCTGCTGCTGCCTCCTAGCCCCAGGGCTCCCTCCCCAGCCGGGGCGACTCTCAAGCCATCTCTACCTCCGAGGGCAACGCATGTGGGGAAGCAAAGACTGCAGCTGTGATGTTCAGGTGATGATGAGGTTTCAGCAGCAGCTACAGCTGTTGGGCAAGGCAGCACTGGACCCCCGTATTTGGGCACCCCCTGTTGTGATGTGACTGAATTCTCTCTCTTGTGAAAAGGGGAGGGACCACCACTGCAGCTGGAACTAGGGCTAGCCCAGGAAGCTTCTTCCAAGGCTGACAGCAGCTGGCGAGACGGCGCCTGCAGGGCCCACCATTCATTTCAGCCCCCCAGCGCTAGATCACGTTCATCTCATTGCAGGGAGGCTCCGTGAACCTGGACCTAGGGCTGCTTGGCTGTCTCCTGTCCACACTCTCCTCTGGTCCCACGCAGGACTGGTCAGATTGCCAGAGAGAGAATTGTAGCCTCTGGAGAAGGCTGTGTTGCACACAGGGTGCCCCTCATGCCCTCAAGGGCACAGCCCAGCCACTCCCTGCTTAGCTCATAGGAGATGGAGGCAGGAAGGCCATGGCCCTCCCTTCCCCCATGCAGGCCAGGCCTGCTCCTATGACAGTTCATAGCTTCTAATGCCAGAAGTGACAGGCCACCATGGGGTGGGTTTAGGCCCCAGCTCAGGCAGAGCTGGCACGCCGACCCATGCTGGGAATTACAGCTCCCAGCTGCTGGATAGGGTGCCCTGGCAGGTGAGCTGCCAGACCTGGTCCTACATCCGTCACAGACCCTGGCATGGATGGCGGGGGCAAGGTGGCAGGGATCAAGCATAACTCCCTGATGACTGAGCCCTTGAGACAGGCAAGGGGGCAGCGGCCCTAGCCTCCTCCCTGGAGCAGAGGCAGCCCCTGCTCTGCCCTTCAGTGGATTAAGGACAGCAGCTGCCGGCAGGTTTTTGCATCTTTATTTGAAATGAATGGTTTCTAGAGACACAAGGTTAGCCTAATGCCCCGTTAGCACTACAACAAGACCGGTGACTGGCTCACTCTTGACATGGAGACAGAGGGCCCCGGGCCAGGTCCCAGAACAATATATACAGACTCAACAGACAGTGCCGAGTCCCATTGACAGCTGATAAAAAAATCAAAACAAAACACCAAGGGGAGGGAGCCAGAAGGGAACAGCAAAGCTGGGGCAGGGGCTGGGCAAGGGAGAGACCCAGGCAGGCTTCACTCCTCTGTCGGCCTGCGGCCCCCCTCCACTGCTTGCAAGTTCTGGCCTGGCGCGGCCCAGCAGGATTCTCAGTCTAATGCAGGCTTGGAGGAGACGGGCCCAGCAGCAATGAGTCCAGGCACAGAGGCTACCTCCTCCATCTGATAGTGTCAGGCTAGCAACGGGGGCACCGTCCATTCTGCTAGAGCTTGGGGGGCAGGGAGGAAGGGAGGGGCCCCTGCTCATCAGCTCTGGCAGCGAGGATGCCCCTTGGCTCCCATGCCCGATGCAGAATTCAGACCTTCAACGGCCCCCAGTGGCTGTTGTGAGTGCACAATGCAGGGTGAAGCCACAGCTAATGCAGAGCTGGGGAAGGGAGATCCCAGGAGCCCCCTGGGCAGTGAGCTCTGCGCTGCTGAAGAGGAGAATGAGATGAGGAACCAGAGACAGCACAGCCAGGCCCCTCTGGGAACGCAGCCCCCTCCAGCAGAGCTGGGAATGGTCCAGCCCACAGAGTCAGCGTCTAGGAATGGCCCTGCTACCCCGGCTGGCACGGCTCCTCCCAGGGCCCTGCGTGCTGAGCATGACTCACTTCCCCACTCCTGCTGCTTGGGCAGGGAGCTGACTGTAGGCTCAGGGCCTCCTGTGCGGTCTGCTAGGCCCAGCCTGTCCCCACTGCACTGAGCAGTCTCTTCCCCATGTTACACCAGGCAGGGGGAGACTGAGAACGGCCCTGGGGAGAAGGGACAGGCAGGGCTCACCGGGCCAGTGCCCTTTGGGGTTCCTGGCTGGGAGAGGGACTGGCTCTGTATCTCCACCCCGGGAAGACAGGCGGGGGAAGTGGGACACTGCCCCAGTCAGGCAGAGCACAGGTAGGGCCTGGGTGCCAGGGGCTGGTGGGGGAGGGGGACGGCATGTTACTAGCATCAGGCAGGGATGTTCAGAGTCCTACATGCGCTGAGCTGGACAGCGCTACCACATCTGCAGGGCTGGGAGCGGCACTACACCCCCATGCCATGCCATGCCACACTCACATGCCACAACCCTGGCCAGATACGAGGAGCAGGGGAGACACCTTCCCAGGCCAGAGCAGACCCAGCCCAGCGGGCTCTGGGTGCCGCCTGCCCATGCTCCAGCCCTGGCCTGCGCTCAGTCCATGTCCTCCTCCAAGCCGCTGCCCCGGCTGTGCTCCTCGTAGATCTCCCGGACGGCCAGGATGCGATTCAGCATGCTCTCCAGCATGCTCCTGTCCATGGGGATGACCGAGTACCAGAGAGGTGACTCTGCAATGCATGACCGCTCTGGCTGCAGGTAGAAGACGTCGTTCCGGTTCCGCAGGCTCTCTGGACTGTGGCAAGAGAGGGGCAGAGTGAACCTCACCCTAGAGGCCAGAAAGCCCTGGCCTCCTCAGCCACCCTGAGCCCATAGGGTCCTTCCCTCTTGACCTGGAACCCAGCAAGCCCCCCAGGGGACCAGCAGGCCTCAGTGCCCCCCCATTCACCCAGGAGACAAGGAGAAGCCTAGAGCCCACCTGACTGAGGTCTGTAAAGGAGGCACTAGCACTTAGGGCACTGCTCGTCCTGCAGGGAAGGGCCCATGAGCCGGTCTTGGAGCTCCTCTCCCAAGGTGATCTGGGACAATGCTCATGGCAGGCAGGAGTGGGGGGTCCCGAGGCACCACAGCCACCTCCTCCTGCCAATCTGAGGGGAGGGAGGGACGGTGCCCACTGAGACGAGTTACTCAGCCCAGGGGCTGTGATCACAGCACTCCAGCAACGGCAGACACAGGCCGGACTTGGGGATTTGAGAAACCAACCCCTGGAGACGCGCTCTTCAGGCCTCCTGCTTCACTGGCAGTACCCTGGCAGTCAGTGCTCTGCACAGCTCTTTGCAAAGGCAGCACGTCAGGGGCAGCCTCGGGCTGCTCTGCAATGTCCTTCCAGCCAGTCGAGGGGCCAGACTGGGCACATGGGGCTGCAGGAGAGCAGGGGACGCCCCAGCAGATGGGCGGTGGCTCTCTCTCCCCAGGAAACTCACCATTTGGAGAGATAGAATTCATAGAACTTGACCGGGCACCGGAGTGGGTTCATCCTGTTCTCCCGCTGCTCCAGGATCGGCAGTTCCTCCTCTCGCTTCCGCTTCCCAGAACTGCTGTCTGCAGAGAGAAGCCAAGTCAGAGCAGCGCACACGCGGGGCAGGGGCGGGGAGACAGACACGCGCAGGCCCCTACCTCGCCCTTTTTTCTGCCGGACGGGGGCGTAGTAGCGGATGCTCACCACCTTGGTGGTGCCCCGGGCTGTAGTGCACTTGCGGGACTGGCGTACCACATTGGTGAAGGACAGCTGCATGTGCTCCTCCGCAGTCTGCAGGCCGAAGAACTTGGTGTTGAAGAACATGAGGGTGTTGAGGAGGACAAAGGGGGAGTACACCCCCAGCTGCTTACACTCCCAGAGATGCTCCTCCTCCACACGGGAGAAGATGGTGTCTGCAAGCACACAGCGGAAGAAGCTGGGTCACACGCATCTGTCATGCTGCGGGTTCCCCGGCAAGGTCTGGCCTGGCAGGGAGACTGGAAGGGATGTGGCTGCCACCACCAGCCCAGCTTCAGCCATGTGTGTCAGAGGAACACAGCCAGGGCACTGGGGTCCTCCCCTGGATCTCTCTCCCTGCCTTGGGCTGAGGGAGCTTGGCCCAGTGGCAGGACAACACCTGTTACAGCAGGGACCCTTGCCCTGGGGAGTGCCCATGTCCAGATGGACTAGCCAGAGGAGCCATGCTTGCAGCGCCAACTGACACCAGGCTGGGAGCTGTCCCGCTGTCCCCTCCCCAGCCATGACCCAACCTAGGTTAACCCACCACAGCACAACTGGTGCAAACCAGCCCCAGACCAAACCAAGGGCCCCCGCCTCGGTACTGAGTGTCACGCACAGCTGCATGTGCTAGTACAATCAGAAGGAAAGGGAGAACAGCAGGCAGGACAGGATCAGGCAACTCCCATGCAAAACCAAGGCAAACTGCTCCAGCCCAAGAGCCTCCCCTGGCAGGCAAGAGGCTGGGACAGTTAGCTCGACTGGTAGCAGGGTACATGGAGACAAGGGCACCCAGCCTGGGGCCCAGAATGGGGGCGCCCTCTGGCTGCCGAGCACTAGGGAAAGCACAGCCCTTATGTAGGTGTCTAACCAGGGGCCGAGTGCCCTGGAATGACTCTCTGTTACTGCTTGGATTATGCCAGGAAGGTCACAAACCTCTGGCCTGGGAGTTGGGAAGCAGACAAGGGTTCATAAGCCCCCTGGTCTGACACAGTGCTTTCCAAAGGCTGGGGCAGGGCCTTCCCCTGCTATGGAAAGCAGCAGCCTGGTCCAAAGGGGCTGGATGGAGAGTCCCCTGATGTATATGGACAGAGAATGTGGTTTCCACGGGCACCCGCTAGCCTGGATTCAACCCTCAGTCAGCCTGAGATGCTGAATCCCAACTGCCGACAATCCCTGGCCCAGCTCTGCTGTAGTGTCCTGGGGGGAAGATTACATGAGGCTCCAAGATGCAGCAGGGGCAGTGGCCTTCCCCCTCCAGGAAGAAGAGTGGGCAGGCCTGGCTTTGTGCCCTCAGGAGAATTCAAGGATCCACTTGCCTCCCATGGCAAACTTCCCCAGGAAGCATCCTGGGGGAGGGGAGGAGGGGAAGGGGCAAAGGTGGCCCCTGCTTGGCCAACTCCAGCCAGGCCTGAGAGCTTGACCTGAGTGGCTGCTAATAAAGGAGCGTGTGGCCTTGGGACACGTACTGTTTGGTAAGAGTGTGGGCTGCCAGCCACTCAGGGACTTGTTCAGCTCCTGCACGAAGGTCAGGTAGTAAAGGTCTGTGAAGATATTCACCATCCGGTTGTTCTCCAGCAGGTACTAGAAGGGAGAGAACACATGGTTAGTGTCGGGCACAGGATGGAATTGTTCTGTACTATAAGTGTGATGCAGACGTGTATTTCACTTGGTGCGCGCCCAGTGCGCTGGAGCTGGAGAATTTTGCCTAGCATGACCCATAGGAGGCAGCACTCGTGCCTCATGTTCAAAACCTCCCCCCGGCTATCTAAGGTGGCCGCACCCTCCCCCACCTCAGTTCCTTCGCACCGAATGCCCAGAGACTGGACTCTGATGCAGAGGGGATGGAGGGTGGCTTGTAGAATACATGCCTGCATCACATCTCAAAAAGCCAGTTACAGGAAGGAACCATTTCTTCTTCTTTGAGTACATGCAGCTGTGTATTCCACTTAGCGGGCTCCCAAGCAGTAACCCCCCCAGGAGGCAGGGCTTGGAGTCTACGTACAAAAGGATCACACGACCATCTACCAAAACTTGCATCTGCCCTGGAAGATATGGTAATGGTTTGTAAAGGTACGTAACAACAACCACAGAGCAGCCCCGCAAATATCCAACACAGATGTCACTGAGGAATGCTATTGATGTTGCTTGTGCTCTCATAAAATGCACTCTTACCCACTGAGGTGGCATAGCCAAAGCTATTTCATATGCAGTCTTGAGACAGGACATTATCCATTTAGAAATCGTCAGTGACGAGAGCGCCTGACCCTTAATGCGATCTGCTTATGACACAAACAGGCGAGGCATGAAACGGTTTAGTTCTGTCCAGACAGAAGGCTAGACATCGTCTGACATCTAATGGATGAAGACGCTGCTCCTCCGGAAGTGAATGCAGGTTCGAGAAGAACACAAGCAAATATCCCGCCTGGTTCAAATAAAACTGAGAAACCACTTCAGACAAAAACGCTGGGTGTGTTTGTAAAGTCACTTTGTCCATGGGGAATTACATATAAGGAGGCTCTGCAATCAGAGCCTGCCATTCACAGACTCTCCGTGTGAATATTATCGCTACCAGGAACTCAGTCTTCTGACACAAAAGCAGAAAGGAACAAGATGCCAGGGGTTTGAATGGAGGTCCCATCAAAGCTGCTAGAACTGCAATATGGTCCCAAGAAGAACTGGCTGTCAGACCAGAGGATGGAGACAAAGAAGCCCTTATAAGAATTTTGCTCCCATGGCACGGGAGAAGACTAATGTTCCCTGAATGGGGGGGGGGGGGGGAGGATGAAATGCTGATATCGCTGCGAGACGCACTCTCAATGAGCTAAGCGCAAGACCCAATGACTGATGGTGCAGCAAGTACTTCAAAAAACAACAGAGGTCCTGTGGCACCTTTGAGACTAACAGAAGTAGTAGTAGTTACTTCTGTTAGTCTCAGAGGTGCCACAGGACCCTCTGTTGCTTTTTACAGATTCAGACTAACATGGGTACCCCTCTGATACTTGACAAGTACTTCAAGAGGTCCTAGATTGGGCTGCGAAATTCAACCACCACACTGAAAACCATTCCATTTCACCGAATACGCCATTCTGGTAGAGGGCCTTCTATTGTTGAATAGGACCTGTTGAAGAGTGGCCGAACGCCGCACTTTCTCCTCGTTGAGCCACACCATGGCATGCAGGGAGCTAATCCCGGGATGCAAGGTGCAGCCGTGATTCTGAGTGAGTAGGTTGGGATGGAGAGGAATGGATATGACAGTGTGAGAAGGCCGGAGAACCAGCACTGCCTCTGTCACGCTGGGACCATGAGAATGAGTTTGGCCTGATCCACCTTCAGCTTGAGGATGACCTGTGAGAGGATCGGGATCAGGGAAAAGCGACTGCCAGCTAAGGTGGAAAGTGTCGGACAGGGAGCCCGGACTGAGGCCCCCTCGAGAACAGAACAGATGGTATTAGCACAGGTCGATCGCCAGAATGCCCCAAGCTGCAAAGATAAACCAGAGGACACATGTCTTCAGGGACCACTCATGACTCAGGGAAAAATTCCTGCTGGGAAGGTCTGCAAGATGATTCTACACCTGGGTAAGTGGTCACCTATCAGAGTGATCCTCTCCTCAGTGGAGAACTGCTACTGCCTGATTGCCTCTTGGCAGAATACCCTGGAGTATGTTCCCCCTTGCCTGTTCACATAATACAACACGGTGGTATTGTTAGTATGTGAACCACTGAGCCGTGATACGGTCCCGAAAAGTGTGACAGGCATCGTAGATGGCCTGAAGCTCCAGCACATTGATATGCAGTGAGGCCCCTGTTCCCATTACAGACTTCGAACTTTCAGCAACCCCAGATGCACTCCCCAGCCCATCAGGGAAGCATCTGTGACAACAGACCTGGGTTGTAAGGGCCAGACGAAGGGAATGCCCTGACAAACATTCTCTGGAAGTGTCCACCACTGCAAGGAGTCCAGGACCAGTGGAGGGAGACGGACCAATCTGTCCAAAGAGTGAAGAGTCGGATAGTAAACTGTCCTGAGAAACATTTAAAAGCGGGAAGATGCAACCTTACAAACTGTACCAACTGCATGAAAGTGGACATGCGGCTCAAGAGCCTCAATGCACAGCCCAGCTGTTGTGGAAGGCTGAGACTGCAGACTGCGGTAATGGTGGCAAATCGCCTGAAAACGGCCAGTTGACAAAAACACTCCCGAACTTGTCGAGTCTATTAGGGCCCCAAGGAACTCAATTTTCTGAGTGGGAACCAAAGTTGACTTCCCCATGTTTAGGATGAGACCCAGATGGTCAAAAATACGCAGTGTAGTGTTTATGTGAAAAGGATTACCTCTCCGGACCTGCCCCTCAGTAACCAGTCATCCAGGTCTGGGAAGATGTAGTTCCTTTCTTCCTGAGGTGCCATGCAGTGCCCAGGACCATGCATTTAGTAAAAACCCGAGGGGCAGAAGAGAGGCCAAAGAGAAGCGTCATATCTGGAAAATGACGTTCCGCTATGACAAGTCGCTGCATGGAAGTCAGCATCCTGAAGGTCCACAGCAGCAAACCAGTCATTCTGAGACACCATGCGGAGAATAGTTGATAGAGTGACCATTCGGAACCTCCTGTACCTGATATTGTTGAGGCAGTGAAGGTCAAGAATGCGTCTTACCCCTCCTCCCCTTGGATTTGGGCACCAGAAAGTACTGGGAATAGAGGCCCTGACCCCGGCGTTCCAGCAGCCAGCAGAGAGAGAATCTGCACGAGGAGCAGTACCTCATGAGAGGGGTCCCTGGAGAGGGATGGAGAGGAACTGGATGGCACAGCCCAATCTGATGGTCCTTAGGACCCAGCTGCTGGTGATCAACCTGCAAGCACTAAGAAAGCGAGGCAGCCTGTCCCCAAACAGAGGGGATGGGGACAAGGAAACAACGACATGAACACTGCTCCAGACCAAGGAGTCAAAATGGGTGCTTGGGTGGCACTGGGGGAAAGCGTGTTGACTGGCCAAACCCCAGACCCGAATGCCTCCTCCTCTGGGACCTCTGCACCTTTCTGGGGTAGTCCCACTGTTTCTGGGGAGGGAAAGGCTGCCCAAATGTGCGCTGCAGACGATGCTGCTCCTGACGACCACTGTAGTGGCATTTCTGCACTGCTGGCATATACCCCCCAAAGACCATAGGGAAGCCATAGAGTCCTTGATGGAGTGCAGCATCTCGGCTGTCTTGTTCAAGAAAAACACTCGGCCATTGAAGGGCAAATCCTCTATGGCTTGTTGCACATGGGGAGCAATGCCCGAATTCTGCAGCCAGGACGCCCTTCTCATGGTCACTGCCAAGGTCAAAAGCATCCACGATGTCCAGTGTGGACTGCAATGAAGTCTTAAGCTATCAAGCAGACTTCGGAGAGAAGTACACGGAATTCCTCAATGGAGGCTTTGGGCAGCTGGTCTGCAAACTTAGAGATAGCTGTTTAGTTCACAAAGTCATATTTGGACAGCAGTGCCTGCTGGTTAGCAACCCGTATCTGCACGGAGAAGGAGGAGGTGCAAATCTTCCTTCCCATCACATCCACCGGTTCACAGTCCTTAGCCTTTGGAATGGACTTAAATCTGCCCTGCCGGTTCCTATTGTTCACCTTGGTTACGACCAGGGAATATAGGGCTGGAGAGGAATAGAAACCCTCAAATTCCTGCACCTGAACGAAGTAGCTTTTCTCCAACACTTTGTAGTAGGCAGTACTGAAGTTGGCATGCTCCAGAGCGCACTGTTCCTAGGGAGGACGACTCTTCCAGGGGCAGATAGGTAATATCCAACAATGTATAGGTATTCTCCTGCAGGAACTCCGCTTGAACACCCAGGGAAGAAGCCAGACCACACCGCAAAACGTCCTGCTATGCCTTGAAATCCTCTGGTACTGAAAGAGGAAGATCCAGGCACCTGGGAATCGTCTGAGACAAAGACGGAGTGGTTAACTGGGGCCATGCCGGATTGTGTTCCAGGACTGATGGGCCTGGACGGGACAACTCTGGAGGCTCTGCAAGGGGAAGGCTCACAGGTACCTGGGGCTATGGTGAATCAACAGCCACCATCACAGACCTGCCCAGTGATCTCACCTTAGAGCAAGATGAGGAGAGGGACCTCTGGATCAAGGAGCATCCCACAGATTCCATGGAGGCCACTGGTATGGATAGGGCATTGGTGGCCAGTAGGTGTCAGGCCAGGGGACCCCATCCTGACTGCAAGACAAGCGCCAATCCTGGTACCCATATGGCTCCATGAACGGACCCCGATGCAGGTCAGGTGATGGACAGTGAGAGGAGGAAGATTCCGACCTGGACGCCAAGGAGTCCAAGGCTTCAGGGGATCAAGGTGGCATCTGCCCTGAGCGTGTGAGCAACCAGTCTGACTCACCTGTAGCCCAGAATGGAGAGGGAACTGGGGCCGACAGTGGAAACAGAATCACCGGCACTGAGTTCACCTCCATAATGTCTGGTGCTAGAAGTAGTGTTAACCCCAAAACCAGCAGTGGTACCGAGGTGACTGAAGGTGCCACAGTGGAGAGCGACGAGTGCGCGCTGACAACAGGGATGCCAAAGTTGCTCCTGGCACCAAGGAGATCCCTTGTGATGAGCCTGGTCCCAGCCCTAGCCCCACTTCCACTGACTGTGGAAGGGAAACATTGGTGTGTGGTGCTGACAGACACACAGGTCCATCAATGGCTATTAGCCGGACGGGCAGGGATGGTGTCCCGAGCCTCTGTTTGCCAGAAGCTGGGAATGGGCGGCAGGGGAAGGATCACTTGATGATTACCTTTCTGTTCATTCCCTTTGGAGGCACCTGGCATTGGCCACTGTCGGAAGACAGGTGTGACATTGCACTCCATATGTTTTATGGAAATATGTTTATAAGTGTGAATATAATGTAACTGGAATATGCTTTATGCAAAAGGTCTCTTGTAAGGTATCATTACAAAGCTTATAATCTACTGAGTGTGTTCATCCTATTTGTATGAATGTATCATTCTTGTATCTGAAGCTAGAAATATGAAGTATTACTCTGAAGTCCTACTGTAACTATGCAAAGTGTGGGCCATTAATGGTGGTTTAGAATCTTGATGGCTCCCATTGACCAGGACAATTGGTTGTAAATGGCTCTGTTTACTTGTAAGCCTTCCTATGTTCATGTGAGTCAGGCCGGAAAGAATGGAGGCTTGGGGTCTCACAGAACATATGACCATGTCACCTGGTACTGGAATCCATCTTAAATCTGGTGCTTTTCCATTTAGGAGGGGTAGGGACCCAGAGAGACAAAAGATTCCTGCCTTGTGCCAAAGCCATAAAAGGGGATGGAACAGGACAAAGGGGGCTGCAGTCATGAGAAATCCCCTAGTTACCACCTGAGCTGCAACTAACAAGAACTGTACTGGGGAAAGGATTGGGCCCAGACTAAGGAGTCTAGTCTGTGAAAGAAGGTTATTGGAACATCTCTGAGGGCGAGATTTACCTGTATTCAGTTTCTAAATTAGGCTTAGACTTACGTGTTTTGTTTTATTTTGCTTGGTAACTTACTTTGTTCTGTCTGTTATCACTTGAAACCACTTAAATCCTAATTTTTATACTTAGTAAACCCAGAGTAAGTGATTAATACCTGGGGGAGCAAACAGCTGTGCATATCTCTCTATCAGTGTTATAGAGGGCGGACAATTTATGAGTTTACCCTGTATAAGCTTTATACAGAGTAAAATAGATTGATTTGGGGTTTGGGTCCCATTGGGAACTGGGTGTCTGGGTGCTGGAAATAGGTGACTTGCTGAGCAGTTTTTGGTTAAAGTCTGCAGCTTTGGGGGCGTGGACCAAACCCTGGGTCTGTGTTGCAGCAGACTAGTGTGTCTGGCTCAACAAGGCAGGGTTCTGGAGTCTCAAGCTGGCAGTGGAAAACGAGCTCAGAAGTAATTCCAGCAAGTCAGGTGATAGTCCCAAGGGGGTCTCTGTGATCGAACCCATCACAACAGGAAACTGGGCAAGATGGACCTTTGGTCTGACCCAATATGGCCATTCTTATGTTTGGTGCAGCAGCCTGCCCAGTCAATGGGCTATAAACGATGCAGCCCTGGCAAAGTCCTGGACCCAGGGAGAAGTTGGGACAGAAAAGCAGAGGTCCATTGCCACTTACTATGCCACTGGCGCAGAAACAGCCAGTGCCGGCATCACCCTCGTCAGTACTGGACTCAACAGATGCCATGGGACCAAAATTGGAGACAACAGGACAGGGTCTCTGACCTCCCTGTGCAGTAGTGGGGAGAGGTTGACGGAAACTGCTTCATTGCATCGTTTCGATCCACACTCCTTCTGGAGGAGGCAGACAAGTCCCCACACAACCTGGAGCAGCCACGATCAGTCTTACGAGACCTCTTGCTTGGCGCACTCAGAGGGAGCGACTCCTCCATCTCTTCAGAGAGGCGCCAGCTCCAGAGTGCGAAACAGCAGCACGCAGAACCTGAGGGCAACGTCCGATCCCATGTAGGCCTTGATGCCGAAACAGGCCATGTGGCCTGTTCAAGCAGGGGCTGCTTCAGACCAAGATCTCTCGCTACCCGAGTCCGTTTGGTGAATGATTTGTGAACTGACCACCACTCCTTGCCGTGGGCTTTGTCTAAGCACAGCAAGCTCTGTGTGTGGGGATCGTTGCTGGGATCACTCCCCCACACCATGGACAATGTTTAATCCCTGGTGATGGCCTCACAAGGGAAATACTGAAACTAATGCTAACACACATCAGACTAAGGGCACTATTAAGTAGACCCAACTGGAGAAAGGCACTAAGACATAGTGAGGTTGTGAGGTTAGGAGCCACACAGAGCTCCGGACAGGAAGAAGGAACTGAAGGGGTAGAGGCAGCGCTGCCTGCAATAGCCAGGGGAGGGACTATCAGCATGAGGCACGAGTGCCACCTCCTACAGGTACTGCTAGGCTAAATTCTCCAGCTCTGGTGCGCTGGGTGCGCACACACCTATGTGGAATACATGGATGCATCTGACCAAGGAAGACTGCTGCAGAGACTCTACCACAGGGTATCATATTGCCTCTATATAAATCTATGGTATGCTCACATCTTGAATACTGCATGCAGATGTGGTTGCCCCATCTCACAAAAGATATATTGGAATTGGAAACGGTTCAGAAAAGGGGAACAAAAATGATTAGGGGTATGGAATGGCTTCCATATGAGGAGAGATTAATAAGACTGGGACTTTTCAGCTTGGAAAAGAGATGACTAAGGGGGGATATGATAGAGGTGTATAAAATCAAGAGTGGTGTGGAGAAAGTAAATAAGGAAGTGCTATTTACTCCTTCTCATAAGACACAAACTAGGGGTCACCAAATGAAATTAAACAGGCAGCAGGTTTAAAACAAACAAAAAGAAGTATTTTTTCACACAATTCACAGTCAACCTGTGGAACTCCTTGCCAGAGAATGTTGTGAAGACCAAGATTATAACAGAGTTCAAATAAGAACTAGATAAGTTCATGGAGGGTAGGTCCATCAATGGCTATTAGCCAGGATGGGCAGGGATGGTGTCCCTAGCCTCTGTTTGCCAGAAGCCGGGAATGGGCGACAGGGGATGGGTCACTTGATGATTCCCTGTTCTGTTTATTCCCTCTGGGGCACCTGGCATTGGCCACTGTCGGAAGACAGGATACTGAGCAAGACGGACCTTTGGTCTGACCCAGTATGGCCATTCTTATGTACAGCAAAATTAATAGGCAGCAGGTTTAAAACAAACAAAAGGAAGTACTTCTTCACTCAAAGCACAGTCAACCTGTGGAACTCGTTTTCAGGGGATGTTGTGAAGGCCAAGAGCATAACTGGGTTCATAAAAGAATTATCTAAGTTCATGGGGGCAGGTCCATCAATGGCTATTAGCCAAGATGGTCAGGGATGCAACCCCATGATCTGGCTGTCCCTCTGACGGCCAGAAGCTGGGTTTGGACAGGGGATGTATTACATGATAATTGCCCTGTTCTGTTCATTCCCTCTGAAGCATCTGGCACTGGCCACCGTCAGAGACAGGATAGAGGATTAGATGGACCTTTATTCTGACCCAGCCTGGCTGTTCTTAGTACTGGTCAGAACACACATTGCAGAATTAGAGGGAGTTCAGAGAAAGGTGAGGAGAGTTAGAGGCCTGGAAAAAAACACCTGAAGAGAGAGCCCCCAGCGCGATCCTCACACAGCTAGAACACAAGAAACTGCTAGTTACTAGGGGTCATGGGGGGAGCAGGCCAGGGGAGCCCCCTGCCCCTGGGTACAGGTTTGGGTGGGGAGGGCCCAGGAAAGAGCCTACTGGTACTGGGGAGAGGGAGGGGTGCAAGGCCTGCCCACACTCTCCCATTGCGTGGTGTTAGGGTGGAGCACACGAGGCCAAGGGAGCCCCCCTACCTGCTGGATGCCGAGGCAGAGGTAATAGATGCTGTCTGGCTCATAGCGCTCGCCGTTGGGCCGTGTTATCTCCTTGACGAACTGGGCAAGACCATAGTTGAGCTCGGCAGCCGTGCAGGCCAGGATATCCTCTTTGATACGCATGGGCTTAGCTGCAGAGACAAGCAGATCAACCTCAGGCAAGAGCTCTTGGGGGGTTGGAGTGCTCAGCGCTGACAAGGGAGCCTGGCTGCTGGTGTCAGGGACGGGTCCCTGGGGCTCGCTGGACTCAGGAGCTCCTTGGACAGGCTTCCCAGGCCCACTGGGCTCCGCAGCCTGATGCTGCAGCCCCTCCCCAGCAATCCCTGGGGCAGAGGTAACACTTACGCCCAAAGCGCAGCTCCTCTCCCTTGCTGGACTCCCCGCCGGCGTACTTTGTCTGCACCCAGCATTTCCAGGCATTCACCCCATATGAATAATTCAGTCCTGTGCAGCTCGGCTGGCTGCTCATGGAGTCCCGGGAGCAGCTTTCGGAGAGCACCAGACGCTTCTGACCCTGCAGAGACATGCACCGTAAGGCTGGGAATGCCAGAGCACACGGGTGCACAGGCAGGTGTTCCTGACAGTCCCAAAGGACCCCAGAACGCCCACAGACTCATAGAAGCGTAGGACTGGAAGGCCTCTCCAGAATGCCCACGACAGTAATGGTTAGGGGAACCAGCTGTGAGACCAGGCTCAGGTGCCTTGTTAGCATGTTTGGCATGCAGGAACACCCCATTATCACAGGGTATCACAACAGACAGGTGCAGCCACTGCTGGGGCAAAGGACCAAAACCTGCTACCAATGAGGGCAGACCGGGGGCAGCCACGGAGCTATCACCGAAAGGAGACAGCCAACCATCAGACCAGCCCTCTCCCGCGCAGCAGGAGCTGCAATATCGGCACGAATTCAACATGTTAACAGAGGCTGTGAACTCCCACAGCAAAGCTAAAAAAGCCTAGAAGCTCTGAGGGCCAAAGCTCTCCAGGTCAGGGAGATCAGTGATATGCTCAGCTGAGCATTTGATCTTCACACGACATTCCCAAGGTTTGTTTAGTACCCACAAAGCCTGGGAGCAGTACAGACACAGCAACAGGCAGCCCTACACCCTAGAACAGGCTGACTACTATGTTCAATTGAACTCAGGGCCCCTCTGCAATTAGAGCCGAGTAGCCTGGCTCCTTCAGAAGGAAAATCTACATCAAGAGGGCGCCTAGCTGGACACAGAACCATAGAATCGTAGGACTGGAAGGGACCTCGAGAGGTCATCTAGTCCAGTCCCCTGCACTCATGGCAGGACTAAGTATTATCCAGACCACCCCGACCGGTGTTTGTCTAGCCTGCTCTTAAAAAGCTCCAATGATAGAGATTCCACAACCTCCCTAAGCAATTTATTCCAGCACTTAACCACCCTGACAGTTAGGAAGTTTTTCCTAATGTCCAACCTAGATCTCCCTTGCTGCAATTTAAGCCCATTGCTTCTTGTGCTATCCTCAGAAGTTAAGAAGAACAATTTACCTCCCTCCTCCTTGTAACAATCTTTTATGTACTTGCAAACTGTTATCATGTCCCCTCTCAGTCTTCTCTTTTCCAGACTAAATAAACTCCGTTTTTTCAATCTTCCCTCATAGGTCATATTTTCTAGGCCTTTAATCATTTTTGTTGCTCTACTCTGGACTTTCTCCAATTTGTCCACAGCTTTCCTGAAATGTGGCACACAGAACTGGACACAATATTCCAGCTGAGGCCTAATCAGTGTGGAGTAGAGTGGATTACTTCTTGTGTCTTGCTTACAACACTCCTGCTAATACATCCCAGAATGATGTTTGCTTTTTTTGCAACAATGTTACACTGTTGATTCATATTTAGCTTGTGATCTACTATGACCCCCAGATCCCTTTCCGCAGTACTCCTTCCTAGGCAGTCATTTCCCATTTTGTATGTGTGCAACTGATTGTTCCTTCCTAAGTGGAGTACTTTGCATTTGTCCTTATTGAATTTCATCCTATTTACTTCAGACCATTTCTCCAGTTTGTCCAGGTCATTTTGAATGTTAATCCTGTCCTCCAAAGCACTTGCAACCCCTCCCAGCTTGGTATCGTCCACAAACTTTATAAGTGTACTCTCTATACCATTATCTAAATCACTGATGAAGATATTGAAGAGAACCGGACCCAGAACTGATCCCTGCGGGACCCCACTCGTTATTCCTTCGAGCATTTTTGTGAACCACTGATAACTACTCTCTGGGAACCGTTTGCCAACCAGTTTTGCACCCACCTTATAGTAGCTCCATCTAGGTTGCATCCAAGGAGAGAACCTGGCATCCAGGCTGCAGTCCATTCAATGGCAAAGCTCCCTTGCACAGCCCACCTCCTGCCCCCCATATGGCCCGAACTGAGACCAGAACCCCACAGGGTTCAGCAGGCAATGTCCACCAGCTGCCCTGGGCTGCTGCAGCCCCGCATACGCACATGCAGCGCTCACCTTCCGGATGGTGCGAGGGAGGTCTGGATCTGTGGATACATCATCTGGCCCGACCAGGCCACAGTCAAAGAGGAAATCCACACTGGGGTTAATGTCCAGAGGGTCTGACGGGAAACAAGGCAGCACAGGAGGGTTCAGGGGTGTGGGATTTCGCCAGCCATGCCATCCCCCCAAAGGGACAGAGCCAGCCAGGCTAATGTGGGCATTACCTACGGATCCCCCCAGGGAGATCTCCTAGCCCCAGCCAATGGCAGGCAGCAGCACTGACAGCACCAAGCCATAGTGCATGATAACACCTAGGCCTCTGAAAGAATTCAGCAAACTACCCTCTTGAGGGGGGTTCCCCTGCTGTGCCATGGTCCCAAATGATCTCCCTCTTCCAACGCTGAGGCCAGGCCGCACCTTGCTGTAGACACGCTCCCTCAGTCTCATGGCACTTGGCTCATTGGAGTCTCCCACTCTGCTAAGTACTCCAGGGATCTCTGACCCACATCTGCGAGCCAATGAGCCAGGAGTGAGCAGATGCCTGAGAACAGCCCCCTTCTCTGCTGCTCCTTCCAGTAGGTCACAGTCCCAGGTCACCCCAGAAGGGGCCACCTTGGCTGCCATGCTGCGTTCTTCCCGACTGAGGGAAGGTGCCCTGGGCACTGGGGGAGGAGAGTGGGGAGCATCACCACAGCTGCCTGGCTGCTGGTTTGCAATGGGACATGCCAAGAGGCAGGCTCTAGTCCCCCCAACCCCGTGGCTTTGCAGAGGAGTTACTGCTTCCGAGGCTTTCCTGGCCCCCCTGGGCATCTGGGAGCTGGGTTACAGCCCCCAGTGGAATTGTCTGCTCTATTTCCTGCCCATGCTTCTGGCCTCCGCACATTGGATCACTCTGCTGTTTATTCAGCCAGATCCCTGGAGCAGATTTAGCGAAGGACAGACCTAACCCTTTCCCTGATGGTCGCCTCGCCCAGCTGAGCGGTCACTTGGCACTAGCCTTCAGCCAAGCCCTATTTAGGGGACACTGTCACAATCTAGAGCAGCCAAGCTCACTTTGAGACACACCACAGCGGAGGCAGGAATCTCCAAGGGATCTGGCACAGCCACACCCCGCTTCGTTCCTGGCCTCACCTTTCTGCAGGTTTTGCTGCTAACTTCATCTGCGTCTCCCTGGCATTACTCCTTATTCCATGCAGTGTGGCCCTCCCACTCCCTGCCCTTCATAGGCTGCACCAGTGACCCTGACTTGCCAGGGCCCAGGGTCACTGCTGAGCCTCACTGGCTTCCCTGCAATTGTGCAGAGACACTTCAGCACGTTCACTGCCCTCTTGGCTTCTCCTCATGCTCATGTTGGAGGGACCAGCTCCACCCCCCAAACGTATCAGCCCCTTCTGCCTCTGGCCCTGTGTGCCCAGCTGGCCATTTGTTCTTTGACAAGCAACAGTGTCTCTGTAAATGCTGCCTGAGCAGCGGGGTCCCCAAGGCAGTCTGAATGCATCCCTGGGCCCCACGCAGCCTGCTCTTACTTTTGGGGAAGTCGGCCTCCAGGTCCTGGCCAGGCTCATCCAAGACATTTGCCATCTTGACAGCCATGGCTAACACATCATCTCTTGCTGGCCCAAACAGGTCGCAGTCCTCCAGGAGACCCTCCGCGCTCTGGTTACTCACCAGGTCTGCGGACACAAGAGCAGCTCAGGATACTCAGGCTCCAAATTAGCCTCCCCCACCCCCTCCAATTGGAAACAGACATAATGGGTCAAATGACACTTGCAGAATTAAACAGACTCTCTTAGGCTGAGGCTCTGTGCTAAAGTGCAGCTGACCTCCCTAAAAGCCACGCTGCGGAGCCTTCTCCAGTGCTTGGAGTGGCCCTATGGCCTCTCCCAGAGACCAAGTCAGAGGCTGCAAAGTAGGACTCAAGAAACTTGTCAGGTGACTGTTTGGGAAATGCTTACTCCGTGTGCAGTGCTGCACGCCCATAGCCCGCGAGGGACAGGGACTCGCACTCCTGCCAGGACTCCATTTTAAAATAAATCATTTGGAAGTGAACCCAGGATGGTTAAGGAACATGTGTAGTACTCACATCCCCACCAGACAGCGCTGCAGGCACCGTTCTCTGCCAGAAACACAGCTCTTCAGGTGCCTTCTCAGTGGCATCCATCTTAGTGGTGGTGCTCCCCACAGTTAGCAATCCCCCCACACCCCAAGCTGTGCAGAAGTTGAAGCACAGACAGAAGGGCTGGCTTTTGTAGCAGCTGAGCCCAGGCCAGCTCCTGAGAGGGGCTCCAGCACAGGGAATGGCGATGAAACCTACCGCACAGGTCTGAGGATGCCTTGTCCAGCTCCTCAGCCTCTGCGATCATCTCGGCCATGGCCAGGATGTCAGCCTCCAGGGGGTTGGAAGGGATCTTCACCTTCAGCTCCTCGATGGTCTCCACTATCTTATCCGTGCTCTCCAGCGTGGTGGGCAGGAACATTGGCACAGGCACCTATCCGTCAGCAGGACAGCAGGCAGAGGTCAGAGCCAAACATGGCCTCTGCTTTGGGGCCTGCACCCGACAGCAAACTCTGGCTCTGCCAAGTGCACCCAAAGCCAGGAGGGAGGAAGGAAGGGGGGCTCAGAGAGGCCCGTGCAGAAGAGATTCAGGGGAAGGGGAGCATGAGCAGATGGGTGTGTTGCTTACCGGGACAGGCATGGAGAAAGGCACGGGTACTTTCTGGCAGTACATATGCATAGGCACAGGCACGAAGATCGGGACGGGGATCGGCAACACAATCACCTGTGGCTTCCAGTCTGCCTCTGGCACAGAACAAACAGCATGTCAGTGCCTTCTGCTGGCTGGCATGGGGACCAGTCTCTCTCTCTTGCATCCCACCTTGGTTCTATTCCTTACAGCACCCCCTGCTAGCTGTAAGTCTCTCACTCTCCTCCATATGCTGACACCCACTGCAGCGCTACCAGGTCCTGCATGCACACCCAGACACGAGCTCCCTGAACTCACAGGCAAATCCTGCATGATGGGCTATTGCTGCAAACCCTCCTCTCCTAGAGAGCCAACGGCCAGGGACACATCTTACAGTGCTAATGGCATTTAGATTGCTCACTCCCCCAAGAAGGGAATGCCACAAGCACACCAATGGCTCGCCAGGACAGACCTCTTTGGCAGTCTATGTGGAGCCCGTTGGCAGGCTGGCTCAGATGTTGCTGCCACCCAGAGCCTGCACGTGGTCAGCTTGCCGCCCCTCCCCCCCCCGACCCCAAACGAGACCGGCTCTCTGGAGTGACATGCAACAATCCATCAGAGCTGAAAATCCCACTTGGCCCTAGGGAGAAGGCACATGGCTACTGTTGGGATGGATGCAGCACCAGCAGGGGCTAAGCAGTGGGTATTGCCGGGGAGGTGGCCAGTTAGCAAGCAAGAGGTGCAGAATTTCCTGTCTTTCCAAAGGAAGGGGGGGAGGTTGCAAGTACAGGTGGCACAGGTGCTATTTGAGGAGGAAGCTAGAAAGCGGACTGAGCCAACTTACTCTGCTCTCAGCAGGGGCAGACCACTTCTCTTTGGCTGGCACCTTCTAGTGAGTTGCTTCCCCTCCCCTCCAGGCTTTCAGCACAGAAGTTACAGCCACTCCCACTCCCCTCTCAATTTGGTGCTGGGCGTTCAGTGAGTTTACACACACTCAGTCAGGAGCTTGTCCCAGTGGTCCCTGCAGCCCCAGGAAGACACAGCACATGCTCTTACCTGTCTGACATCCCTTGGACTTCACTTCTATCTTGCAGGACACACCCCGGTTCTGCATCAATGGTTTGCACATAGCAGCCTTGTTCTTCCGAGGCGTGGCTGGAACTGGTGGCGGTGGGGGAGCTGGGGACATCTGGGCTGAGGAGGCCTTTGCAGACACCTGTCGAGATCCAGAAAGGGACAAGTCTGTGTCCTGTGCTAGTGAACCCCCCTCTTCCCCAACAACCCACATGGCAAGGGCCCAGTCCTCATGGCCAGGGCCCTTCTCCCTGAAGCTGCTGCTGGTGGTGCCGCCTGCTGCCACTGTTTCAGGCAGTACCTGCAGACCCCCAGATACCCACTCCAGCACCATTCACTGCTCTTAAGCCAGACACCCAGCAGGTGCTTGTACCTACGGACACACCCCATGCCAGGGAGCCAAGCCCTGAATGGGCTGCACTGCCCAGGGGCGCAGACCTGGCCAAAGGAGCGGCGAGCTCAGAGCCGGTGACCAACGAGCCCCAATCAGCAGGGAGCGTAGCACCCATCAGTCCCACCCTAAGGAGCAGGGAAGGAATTTGGTCTTTTCAGGGTCCCAGGCTTTCGCAAGTGAAACGAACAGCCACAGTCCGGGGGGGGGGGGGAACAGGGTGAGGGCATGCGTCAGTCAACGCTGGGAACCTCTCAGAGCTTTACATTGATGTGCCTTCCCACGGCGTTCATCTGCTCTCCTAGGGCCAGTCAGCCATTGCCACTTGCCCATGCAGCCGTACTGCCCTCCCCACAGGCTGGTTCCCAGCAGCACACCTCAGGCTCCTCTGCCCGTGCACAGAGATACTGTCCCAGCCTCAGATGGGGCCAGGGCCACCCTGGAAACACTGGCCAGGTCCTAGAATTTGTTACCAACTCAGGAAGTCCCCCTTTGGGACAAATGCAGCCCAAGGGCCTCTCCCAATGTGTTCCCCCTCAGGCCTCACCATATTAGTCTCTGCTTTCTGTGGGGAAGAGCCAGGAGGTTTGGGCTCGGGAGTCTGACCTGCAAGGGAAAGAGAAGAACCATGAACACATGCTGCATTCTTGCTCGCCTGTGCTCTCAGGCTGGCGGGTCCCATTGGTGGGCCTGGACAGAGCAGCAGCCACTGGCCAGAAGAGCAGGGACTGACATGCTCTCTTCTCACTAGCCCAGGGCCAGTCCTGGACCATACTTGCCAATGTTTCTAGCCCGATGAGGTTGCAAATTTTGGACCTTAAAAATCACATCATCGTCTCCACTGTTATCTTGCTCTCCCCAGCACTCCATCCCAGCTGTCAGCGCTGGCCTGGCACCTACCCATCCCACAGCGGGTGGGCAGCAGATTCCAGACTTTTATTCCCAGCTTGACCACTGACCTACTGCATGGCCTTAGCTGAACCACTTCCCCTCCCTGTGCCTCAGTCTCCCCACTGTAAACCAGGATACGCCCTTTGCAAAGTGCTTTGGGATCCTCAGGAGGAAGGTGGCAGAGAAGGTCAAATGATTAACACTACTGCCAAAATCTGCCCTGCCGTGCCCCCCGGGAGCGAGGATGGCATAGCCCAGTGCACTCTGAAGACAGATGGCCTGACTCAGGGATTCTGTCTGGCAGAGGTAATAGCAGACCAGGTCAGGAAACCAGCTACTAACCATAGAGATGAATGGTCTCCCCAAGCCCCTCTCAGGAGTAGTTTGTTGTTAGCTCCTTCACCCACGTCTGCCAGCGTGTCCAGAATTACCCAGCAGGCATTAGACTGAGAGTGCTGGTGGGCAGGGACTGCCGTACACTGTACTAACGCAGCTGGAGCAGCAATGGCAGGCTCAGCTCTCCGTGCAGGCTTCAGCAGAGCTCAACATGCTAAGGAGCAGGAGTCACAGAGGCACCTGTCCCCCACAGTGCGCTCCTCCCTGAGCAGAGCAAGGAGCTGCCGATGGCCCAGCCCTGTCAAGGCTCATGGGACCAGCCCTTCTTGGGTGCTTGACCCACACAGATCTTCTGTCTCTTTAGGAACAACAGAGAGCTGCTGGGGAAATCCGAGCACAGCCCACTTGATGGGTGTGTGTGTGTGTGGTGGGGGGGGGGGGGCGGCAAGTCCTGCCCCAAGACTCCTGCCACAGGTCTGGCAAAGGTCCACAGCTGCAGAATCTGCAGGTCTCTTGGGGGACCTCCCACCTCTCAGCAGACAGGCAGCGAGCCCAGACAGAATGGAGCCCATAATGTGCCTGTCTCCAAGAGACCATGGCTGTCAGCAGGGAGGGCCAGGGCTGTGGGGCATGAGCTAGGCTGGGTGACAGGCATCTCTGCAGCAGAGCAATCAGAGGCCTACAGCAGCACCCCACCTGGCCAAGGACAAAGGACCCGCTGCATGAAGGGCTGGGAACCTAGAAGGTCCCTCGCAGAGCCCCACAAGCTAAGTGACCAATCCCCCATCTTCTGGGTCAGGTGCTCCTCTGAGGCACACTGGCTGGTTCGTGGGTTCCTCCTGCCATCAGGTCAGGAGCTCTCCAAGCCCCCATTTGGGAAGATTGCCATTCTGCATAGGAATGTCTGGCCGGCCCGAGAGGGAGGAAGTGCAGTAGGGCCTGTTGGAGAGTCAATCCTTCCCAGTGGGAGACTGTCCACAGCTCTGGGACACAGGTCTCCCCAAAATCGGCCCGAGGCTCTGGTGCTCACACACAGAGACTTAGTCCGAAGAAGGGGCAGTGGCAACCTGCAATTCGCTAAGCAGTTCCAGGGGCACCATCTTTCCAGAAGCAGCCACAAGGTCAAAGGGATGCAGAGCTCCGGAAAGCCACATGGCACAAGAGCCTGAAGAATGTGCCTGGGACAGAATCAGAACTGCACAAGGCTCCAGGTCTGTCCCAGGCACAGGCACTGGTTTCTTACCACTCGTGGCCCTCCAGAGTTCTTCATCTCTTTGACCCTGCAGCTGCTTCTGGAGAGACGGTGCCATCTCCACAGCACTGGGGAAGAGGGTGTTGGTCCCAACATGCTCCTTTGTGCTGTCACCTGAACCACCCGGAGCACTGCTGGTAGGAAACGCCTTTCCTGGTTTGGGCTGCTGGAGCTGAACCTGTACAGGGCCCAACCAGAATACACATCCCTGCAAGAGGAGCTCTTTCCTGCTGTCTCTCTGTGCTCTGGCAGGTCATGCTGAACCCATCAGTTCTGGGACAGGCATATCACCCTCCAAACCTGGGATCCCCGGGGGAACCCTGCTGTAGACATGAACTCCGTGGGCTGTCGATCAGAATCTAGTTAGTTACTACACACAGCTGGCTTCTGACCTACCATTTCCTGAGACCTAGCACCTGCCCAGCTCATCTTGGGAATCAGGGGTGGCATGCAGCAGTAAGATCCTTCAAGCCTTTCACTTCCTGTGTATGTACTGCTCTGTGCTGAGAAAACATCCTTGTAAAGTCCCAGCCTCCCTTCAGGAGGCTCCATGCCTCTTCTTGGGCTCACACACAAATGGCACTGCCATCAAAGGTGGACAGCACTGGGTGCATTTCAGATGAGCCACCTATTCGTCACTTTCAAAGGGGATAAAGAAGATCAGCAACACGGGTTGATGGGCTGGCTGATTACTGGGCTTGGGGGGAGAGGGGGAGTCTTACAGATCCCCTGCAGCCTGTGCTGCAGAAGCAATGGCCATGGCGTGTGAAACAGGTCCTTCCCTAGGGCCAGGGGGGCGAATGGCTTGCTTGCCCAGGCGGCTCGTGTGAGTGCTCCACAGGGCAGCGTTACAGGCCCCTCCAGAGTATGCACTACCTCAAGGGCAAGGAAGGAGGTGGCGGGAGGAGTCCATGTTACCAGCTATGGATAGTGCAGCTATCAGCTTCCCCTCCGGCTAGGCAAGATCAGAGCATGGCAGGGGAAATGGCAGGCGTAACACTCGCCCTCTGTCGGGGGAGCCTGACACATCTTGCCTGGCTGGATCCTCAGCTCCCAGATGTCTCAGTACTACGAGGGGCCAACAGTGCTTTATCCAGGTAGCCATAAGTTCCAGGTCCCTGGGGCCGCCAGGGTGGGTCATTCCAGCACGCAGGCCCTCCCGCCCCCCTCCGATGTGCAGGGCCTTGCCCTTGCTCCTGGCCTTTGTTGCTCCAACATGCTTTAGGTGGGGTGACCCCTAGACAGCGCTCAGGGACTTCACTGGCTACAGAAAAGGCTGCCATTTACTGAGTGCTGCTTCTCACCAGGAGTACATGGAACAGCTCTGCTGTTAGCTGCCCTGCCATCCATCTGGTTTATGGTGCCGGTCCATTCCTGTCCCCTTCTCCTGGCAACAGAGCCTGGAGACTGGGGGCAGAGCCCTGGTCTCTGGAGTGTATTTCCTCACCTTGGTGCAGGTGAGCCAGGGATCTTCTCAGTAAGGAATATTTGCTCTTCTAAGGCTGTAGTGCTTTTGGCAGCAGGCTCAGGGTTTGGCAAAAGTTGATGCTGGGTCCATCTGAAGTTCAAGTCATTTGATCTCCCAGTATTACAAAAGCACTACATGTCCTGGGCACTTTGCAAGCCTAAACCAAATCAACTGAGTAACACAGGAGGAGGTCCTGGCCCCAACAACAGCCAAGCAGAGCCAGGCTACATCTGTGTCCCCAGGACGGGGTTAGCTGTGTCCCCTCATGGTACCAATCGGTACCTGCCATCCAGGGAGATCCCAAGGCACTTTGCAATGTCCTACCACTGATTTACACAAGTTAACTACAGGAAACGGGGTAACAGGCAGAGAGAATTCAACCTCCAACTGGAACTGCTGGAACACAGCACAGGATTGTCCAGGACACTGGGGTTAGCAGCCCCAGCACTACCCACAACAGCCTGGGATTGCGGAAAAGCAGAAAGACTTCCATGTCATGTCTCATTAAAAGAGCAGCACAGCTCCCTCTACTGTCCTGCTCCGTTACAGGCTCAGTTCTGACTGAGGGAAGAGCCCCACCTATAGCACCACCAGCACCACAACCTGCAGCACCCTGGGTGTTCCTTGAAGGTCTCCCATCCAAGCACTGACCTGGCCCAATCCTGCTTAGTTTATGAGATCTGAGGAGGTCACAGCTCGGAGGTAGTGCGGGGCTGCAGGTGGATTATCAAGTCAAACCACGCTGTCCCCTAACCCTTTAAATCAAGCTCCCAGCTGGCAACTTGAGGAAAGAGGCTGGAGTCGCCTGTTAAATCCCTGAGCATCCTCGCTAAGAGTGAGAGCTACAGGCAGCATGCTGGCGCCGGCTCCTCCCATCTGGGCCCTGTGTGTCATAGAACCATAGACGTTAGAGATGGAGAAGCCCCAGTAGGTCCCACTCAGTCCATCCCCCCAGGGGCCAGTGCAGGATTGTTCCCTAGTGTCTCGTCCAGTCCCAGCACTGGAGTTTCCAGTTCTCCCTGTCTCTCTCGGGCTGAGCTCTGCTGGGCTCCCTCCCTCCTTCCTACTCACTGTTCAGCAGGCTCTCGGGCCCCTTCTGCGTGTCCAGGTTGGGCTGGTTCTGTTGATTGTAAAACCTCAGCAGACACTGCTGGTTGCAGAAGTGTTTGATTTGCCCCCGCCAGTGGATGGTTTCCAGCAGCTTCCCCTGACGCTTGCAGGCATGGCACCGAGCTGCCTAAAGCCCCGAGTGGTAGGAGACACAAACAACCAAGTAACTAACTACACCCACTCTGCATGCAGAGAAAGAGGAACACTTGATAAGATGCTGTGAGCTCTCCCACAGAAGTGCCCTGTCAGCAACAGCAGTGTAAGCTTCTCTACACCACCACTAGCTGTGGACTCCCGCAGTACAAACTTCCTCAGAGCAGTGCTCTGGCAGGATCAGCTGTGAGCTTCCCCACAGCAGTGTCCCACCATTGCTAGCCTGGGACTCCAGCATCGGGAGCTCCCCAAAACAGGGCCAGCTGGGGACTCCAGCAGGGCCAGCTCCCCACAGCAGGACCCAGTTCTCTGGATCAGTGCCCACACCAGCAAGTCAGTGCAAGGCTGCCAATGCCGATACTGACCTTGAAGTACCATAGCAAGTATTTGCTCTTGCAGTCTTCACTACAGAAGTCCCAGGTGCTGCCCTCCAGCTGCTCGGTGACCGCCCGCTGGCAGGTCTGGGAACAGTAGGTGCAGGTGATGCAGCACAGACCCAGGTTCTTGGTAAAATCCTGTTTGTAAAGAAGCACACACCCTGCGGAGAAACAATAGGAGTGAAACCTTCCCAGGATGCACTGGGGGACTCCCTGACCTGAACAAGACCAGAAGCCAGGTGTGTGGAGACACAACAGAGCACAACGTTGTCGGGAACAATCCTGCACTGGCCCCGGGGCTGGGACGACATGGGACCTCCGCGGATTTGCCATCTCTCACCTCTTTGCTCCTAGGAAGAGCATGACTCCAAACAAACGCCTCCAGCCTCCTGTGTGCAGGAACTTGCCAGGCAGGACAAGGTCAGGCCAGGCCAGCCCAGGTGCAGGAGTGCAGGTGTGTGATGACAGGAGGTGCGGAGCTGCCACCTGCTGTCTCCCCCAACCCTCAGACAGAGAAAAGCAATGAGACAGCCCTCCCCAAGCTGACATTGGACGGCAAGGCCTCTTCCCAGGTGCTGGCAGCCAGAACTCCACCCCTGAATCAGCCTCCCTGCACTACAAGGCAAGGCCTTTGCCCTGGCACAACAGACCTCCCTCCATTCCACTACAAGGTCTCTCCTTTCCCCAAGCCACAGGGTCGGCAGCAGGTGCCTTCCTCTCCCATGCTCCCTCCATATACCTTCGCTGCAGAAGTTCTTCTCCACCCCAGAGAAGCGGATCTTCTCGTGCAGCAGCTTCTCTTGCTTGCAGTGCTCACACTGGGACACCACCCCACGCAGCCGCTTGAAGTCCTCACAGCAGTCCTTGCAGCAGAACTGGTACACTTTGTCCTGCCAAAGAGACCGCTGCCTGGGTCAGCCAGCCTGGCCAGAAACCTAGGCTGGCTAGGAAAGCAGGAGCGGAATCATAGTGCTGGGTAGACAGAGTTACAACGTCCCCAGTGTAGGAACTGGGGCAAGAGGGACTCACCCTGAACCCAGCCCAGCCTGTGCCCTGAACACCAGGAGAATGTCTTCCATAGCCACCCTCACAGGGCTATGGCTGCCAGCTAACCTGGTCGAGAACAGGCTGACCTGGGCTTTGCCACTGCCCAAGGGTGGCTCCACTCCTGTCCCTCCTGCTCCCTCTTCAGAGCAGCGAAAGGAACCTGAGGAGGCTCCGCAACCCCTCTGGTTTGGGCCTCAGCCCCATGGACCCAGGGCCCAAGACCCTGCTGTCCCTTCTCACCTGCCAGTCCAGAATCTCTGGCTTCCCGCTGAAGAGATTGTGACAGTAATGACAGTTCAGGTGGATCCCCCCCTCGGGGCTGGTACGCTGCAGGGAGAAAGGGAGAAAGTTAAAGGAGAAAGGGCACGTAGGGGGCAGATGTACCCACCGTGCCCACCAGCTGGAGCATTCCTGCCCAGCCCCACCACACTCACTGGCCAATGTATCCCCACCCACCTCTGCCTGCCAGCACATTCTAAGGTCACTGAGCTTAAGGCCAGAAGGGGACCATTAGAGCATCTAGTCTGACCTCCTGATGGTGACAGGCCATTACATTCCACCCAATTCCCCTTGTATTGAGCCCTAGAACATGGGGTTATGTTGAAAGCAGATCTTCCAGAAAGGCATCCAGCCCTCATGTGCAGACCTCAAGAGATGGAGAATCCACCACTTCCTGGGGAGTTTGTGCCAACGGCTAGTCACCCTGCCTGAAACGTCGGTGCTTTATTTCTAATCTGAACGCGTCTAGCTTTGGCTGCCAGCCACTGATTCTCGCTCTGCCTTTCTCTGCTAAATTAAAGAGCCACAGAGTGCCATGGATTTTCTCCCCACAAAGGTGTTCAGATACTGTGGTCAACTCACCTCTCAAGTGTCTTTCTGACAAGCTAAACACATTGGCCTCTACATCTCTCCCTAGCACATGTTTTCTCCAGCCCTCAAATCCTTTTTGTGGCTCTGTTCTACACCCTCTCCAATGTTTCAACACTTTTTAAGGTGTGGACACCAGAGCTGGATGCAGTCCAGGATCAGCCTCACCAACGCCTTATTCAGAGGTGACGTCCCCTCCTAGCTCCCCCACTCACTATGTCTGTTTACACAGCCAAGGGTCACATTAGCCCTTTGCCACAGCATCAATATAAGAACATAAGACCGGCCGCAGTGGGTCAGACCAAACGTCCATCCAGCCCAGTATCCTGTCTTCCGACAGTGGTCAATGCCAGGTGCCCAGAGGGAGTGAACCTAACAGGTAATGATCAAGTGATCTCTCGCACTGGGAGCTCCCACTCAGCTGCTTGTCTGCTATGACCCCTAAACCCTTCACAGTCCCCTTCCCCATGGTTGGCATTCTTTGTTCCTAGATGCATGAACTTGCATTTGGCTTTATTAAAACACATGTTGTTTGAATGGGCCAAACCAGATGGCTCTGTATGCTTGCCTGTCCTCAACATCATTTACCACTGCCAAGCTTTGTGTCATCCACAAACCGTATCAGCAAGAATTTATATTTCCTTCCAGATCATTGATGAAAATGGTGAACAGTGGACCTAGGAGACCGATCCCTGCGGGACCCCATTAGAAACATCCCCAGTCAGTAATTCCCTATTGACAGCTGCTTTTTGAGATCTGTCTGTTAACCATTCTTAATCCATTTAACATGTGCTTGACGGATATCATAGAGTGGTAATTTTGTAATCAACACGTTGCGTATCACTATGACAAACCCCTTACTAAAGTCTAACTGTACTACATCTACACAGTTCGCTTTCGTCAGCCAAACCAGGTTTGTTTGACAAGACCTATTTCCCATAAAGCCATGATGACTGGCATGACTTACATTTCCATCCTTTAATTCTTTATTGATTGATTCCTATATTTGCTTTTTCATTACTTTGCCAGGGTTTGACGGCAGGCTAACTGGACTATAGTTACTCAGGTCATCCTGCTTGTCCTTTTTGAACCATTGCATGACATTAGCTCTCTTCCAAGCCTTCTGGAATTTCCTCAGTATTCCACGATTCACTAAAAATGCATGTCAGTGGGCCAAGGATCTCCAACTCTCTTAGGACTCTTGGTCAACATTATCTGGGGCTGCTGCTTCCTGGGACTCCTACAGGGAGGGCACACTGGAGAGTCCCAGCTGGGGCCTAGGAGTTGCATGGACTGTGCTCGTAAGTAACCCTGGTGCTGGTCCCACCCTCTGCTCTTAGGCTGGCTGCAAGATGTAGCTGGTTGTAATTTACTCCTAGGCCCCAGCTGGGACTTTCCAGTGTGCCCACCCTGGTGGAGTCCCAGGAAGCAGCAGCCTCTGCTGGGAGAGGAGAGGGGAGGGGGATCCCTCCCTGACAGGAAGCATGTTTCAGTACCTGGAATTTGGTCCAGCAGCTGGGGCTGCAGAACTGGTACACAACCCGGTCAGTCTTGTTGTAATAGCAGGGCTCAGACAGGCTCTTTCTGCAGAAGCTGCAGGGCCTAGCGGGACCTAGCAAGACAGAGACAGTGATGGCAGCAGCGTGGAAGGTGGGACTGGAGGGAGAGAATGGGCTGCACGTTCCTATCCCATTTTCTGCAGGTCTGTTATAGTGGGCCTGGTACTCAGACACTCTGGTGCAACAATCCCAGGAGAACGGGGATGCTGGGCTTTGCCAGGGCAGAAATGCCGCCTCAGGGGAAAGGGAGGTCGCAGCCTCACTCCAGCTTGGTGACCAACCCGGCTTACCTAGGGCAATGTCAGAGATCCCCAAACGTGTGACACCTCTCTCTCTGCAGGCTCCCCCTAAGCCTCACTCCGACAGGTCAGAGGTCAGCGACACAGGGCCCTTTGGGGCAGACGTTCTCTTACCAGTCAGACCCGACTGCTTCACTTTGTGAGAGGTGGTACAGCAGATGGAGCAGAACAGGCCCATCTTGCCGCTCCGATCCACGTTGGGCAGCATGTCGAAGTTCTTACACAGCGTTTTGCACCACATGCAGGGGTACACGCGGGTATTCTTCTGCAAGCATAAAGCAGAGGGTGGCTACTGGAGAGCTCAGGCCCCTGCTTTCCTCCATCCCATGTCCTAGTCCATCCTCACCCCCTCTCCCTCCTCCCATCCCCTTCAATGGCTCCACAAGGCAGTTCTTCTACAGCAGGTTGACATGAACACACAACATGGACGACAAGCTTGCACTCTGTTCCCCCCTTGGGTCACAGGCCCTGGCACGCTCCCCTCTACCATCTGAGAACCCACCTAGATCTCAGGCTAGCCTGGGGCACACAGCCGCTTTGTAGGGACCCCATGGCTGGATGCAAGAGAGGCCCCTCAGTGGGGGTATTGTCTAGTTCACTGAATCCTGCACAGCACAGCAGGATAGAACCAGCTCTGGGCTTTCTGGCCACCATAAGGAGCCAGCTCTGTGCCTTTGACAATCAGCCTCGCTAGGCAAGTGACCAGGAGCGCCAGCCCACAGGTCCCAGAGCCAGGCCGATTTATCCAACCAGCCCACAGGTCCCAGAGCCAGGCCGATTTATCCAACCAGCCCACAGGTCCCAGGGCCAGGCCGATTTATCCAGCCAGCCCACAGGTCCCAGAGCCAGGCCAACTTATCCAGCCAGCCCACAGGTCCCAGAGCCAGGCCGATTTATCCAACCAGCCCACAGGTCCCAGGGCCAGGCTGATTTATCCAGCCAGCCCACTGGCCACAGGGACAGGCCTGGGGAGCTGCAGCCCCAGCAGCAAGAGTAAGCTCAATGCACCTCTACTGGTCTGCTTTGAAGAGAGCCTTTGGATCTCTTTTCTTAAGAAACTTCCTGAGTGTTGGAGGAGCCAAAAGCGAGACTGCTCAGAGTTGCTGCTACTGCAGAGGAAGCGCCCTGCACTGAGCCAGGGGAAGGCTGGTAAAAGCCTCGGGAAAGGGAGATGGATGCCCCCAAAGCCCCTCCCTGTCTCCAGGAACTCCTCACCTTCTTGTAGCTATTGAGGCAGGTGGAATTGCAGAAGCGTTTCTGCTGGCCCTCGTGGAAGAGGTACTCCAGTGGCAATCCCTTGTTGTAGATGTAGAGGCCGCAGTTATCACAGCAGTTGGTTTTCAGCCCCTTGGTGGCTCGGAATTTGGTGAAGCAGGCGTCACTGCAGAGCCGGTGCACCACGTTCCCATTGCTGACCTCGTGCTGGATCTGCACACACACCGGCACCAGGCACTGCCTCAGAGGCAAGCACAGGCCCACCCCGGCCATTCCGCAGGGGCCTGGCCCTCGAGCTGGCCTGTGCCTCTGGGCAGGAAGCGCCATTACTCTAGCAAACCCATGCAGGCTGGCTCCCATCCCAACAGGACGATGGAATGAGCGGCACAGGGAGCTGCAAGGGGCAGCATGGGGAGAAGAGAGCAGAAGCTGCGCCTCTGGGGCTGATGGGTAGAAAACAATGGAAAAGGAAGAATCTGAAAACAAGCCCAAATCTGCACACAGGCCACAGCCTGAGGCCATAGGAGTCCCTGGCAGGTTCCCCAGGCCAACCCAGATACTGATAGGCTCAACCAAGCCCCTATAACTGGATTAGGTAGCTCACAAGCACCTGGAAGGTGTGGGCAGTTGCATTAACTCCAGCTCCAGCAGATGGCTTCAAAGCTTCTTAGGCCAAACACTGGACAGACCAGGGCTCTGCTTACCTCCCCAGGCTTGTGACAGACACTGCAGCGGCTGGTGTCCGAGGCCTCTGCAGGCTGAGGGGCTGGTCTCTGCTGCTGCGCTTCGTAGAGGGAGAGGCACACAGAGGTGCAGAACTCATGGAAAGAAGCACCTGAGCCGATCTGGGCCACAACAGAATCCTTGGTGTTCCAGATCTCTCTGGGGGGCAGGAAGGGACTGGTTAGCGCAGGGGACACCCCCACTCCAGGACAAAGAGGGAGGGTGGGCCGTAATGCAAGGGGCTCCAGGACAGGGGGATGTGAGGGGGATCAGAAAGTGCAGTTAGAGGGAGTGGAGTCCTGGGGTGGGGAACGATAGGGTATTGGGGGGAGATCAGGAGTATGAAGGGGGGCAAGGGAGCAGGATGGGGTGACGGGGGAAGAGTAGACAAGGGATTCAGCAGGAAGGGTAGTGGGTTGGGGAGAGTGTGAGGGTGGGCGCGAGGGAAGGTAGGCAGGGGTAAGCAATACTGTGAAAGCAGGGCATATGGGTAGATGGATGAGGAAGGCAGGGTGAGATGGGGACGAAGATGGCTAGTCAGATGGAAGGCGGGGGGGGAAGGGGGCAAGAGGGCGGATAAGGCAGGGAGAGCACACACTTTTTACAGAAGGTGCAGATCTTCTTGCCGGGTGGTTTCTTGGAGAAGGTGGTGAGACAGGAACTGGAGCAGAAGAGCTGAGGGAGCCCTTTGCGCTGGTAGGCTGTCTGGCCCTTCTGCAGTGGGGTCCGGCAGTTGGCACAAGTCATCTTGGTGACGGTGGAGCGGGCAGCCCGCTGAGCCATCTGTGTGCGTAAGGACATGCGGGTCGAGCGCCGGGTACGGAAGGGAACAAAGTCCTCATCATTGGGATCATCCACCATAGCATCCGAGTCCTCATCAGAGACCGGGACTGTGAGCAGGGAAAGGGAGAGACAGATTCCCTGTTAGGGACCGCAGCATAACCCTATGTCCAGACTGGGGACAGGGCTTTCTGGAGTCCATTTCAGGGTGCAGAACCTGGAATTTCCTCAGCAGGGAGGAGTAAGGGACCTTGGAAAACTGTAATGTGCTGACAGGGGATGAAGCAGGAAACCCGGCAGGCTCACTGAGCCTTGGGCACTGCTGTCTCCACAGGAAAGGCACGATTCTTTGGGGCCAAGCAGCAAGTTCAATTGCAAACACTTAGAGCAGACTGCAGAAATCTCTGCACATTCCACTGTGCATTACAGAGACCAAGGCAGCTCCCCCCAGCCCCTTCCCACAAAAGAGAAGGGAGCAGGTGGCACAGCCAGGGTGCGAGGGGCACAATTCCTCCCCACTCCTAGAGGAAGGTGCAGCAGATGCCACAAGCACTTTTAGACTCTGCATCTCAGAGGCAGACACTGCATGTTTTCCCCCAGGAAAGTCCCTACAATGAAGCCCACCTCCTGATCCCCAGGTGGGGTGGGGAGAAAGGGACAGAGCTGCCCAGGGGATTGTGCTCCTGGCTGGGAAGGGGCCTCTCAGAGGAGTGCGCACACCGCCCCTCACCTCTTCCCTCTCCCCCGACTTAGAATTGGGCCGAGTGGCCAGCCTAGGTTACTTACTGCTCTCGGAGGAATTCACAGTTTCAGGCCTGGCTGCCTCTGATCTCCTGGCTCGTTCGCTTCTCTTCTGCTCCTGGAAGATACCCAGAGAATATTCAGATCAACCATCTTCTGGGGTGACCATGGACAGAGAGCCTCGGCCACTCCCAGGGCCCAGCTTTAGGGCTCTTCTTTCAAACTAACTGCAGATGGTTCAAGCTTTGCTGAAGCCCAGCCAAGGTCCTGACTGGGGTTAGCAGGGCAGGGGGACCGAGCTGGCTTAAGAGAAAGGAGCTGTAGCCTGGCAGGTGGCAGGGAGCTAACACTGAAGCCACCTGCACAGCACAGAGAAGGTGTCTGCCCCAGGAGACATGCACACTCCTTCCCATGCTCACTCAGAGGGGTGGCCTTCAAGTACTATTTCAGACAGAGACACTTGTCTGAACTCTTCTCACCTTCTCAGTTGGCTGTTCGCTTCCCTTCCCGGCCAGGTCTTCTCCTGCAACGGAAATACAGATGACACCTGAATCCCAGACCCTGGTTCTCTCCAGAGCAGGGGAAAAGCTTCCTGCTCAGAGACAGCAGCCCTCTGCATAAACAGGAGGGGCTAGAAATCACAGGGAAGAAGACCCGCCTTTGCTTCTGCCTACGCATGCCAGCAAGGCTTGATACCACAGAGCCACATGGAGGAAGAACCACATACAAGGTGTGGTATTCACACTCGGGAGCATGCTGTGGGGAGCAGCCCTGCATGCAGAGTGGGAGAGAGACACTGGGCAGCTGCAGCTGTCACTTCTACATTTTCGGAGCCAGCCTGCCAATCTGGCGACCGAATCCTCTCTCTAAACACAGAACAGGCTCAGCCTGGGAAAGGTGTGGGTAGGTCCAGGCCTTCCTCAGCCTGGTGTGGAGAGCAGGGCACGAACCCTGCCTAATGGAGACATGCCCTGCCCACGCTGCTCCACCCCTAGTGCCAAGGTAGCCGCAGACATCACCAACCGCACCAGCATGGGCTGAATCCAGCTCTTTGGCAGGGGGACCAGTAGTCAATAGGAGCAAACTTCAAGCCATGGCAGCCAATGAGCGCGCTCATTTGCACCCAGGGCCCTGACTGCCAGAGCTATTAATCCCTCCTATTGGGGCCACTTCCCCAGCCCACCCAATTAGCAGGCAATGCTGGTTCACACACAGAAGAGACCTAAGTTCCCTGTAAGCTGCGCAGCCGCGCAGCAGTCTATTTAGAGCCGTGCAGGCGCTCAGGGAACTTGCCTGGAGACCTGCCACAGCTGGGGACCAGCCGGGGAAGGGGCGCCCCTCCTGCTGTGGCCAGGGCGACGTGGACCCAGCTGTGGCCAGAGTGGCCCAACCCAGCCACAGGCGCAGCCGGAGCACCCCTCCCCAGGTCCGAACTCAGCCCAGGCCCAGATGTGCGGGGACAGAGGGAGGGGCGCCTATCTTGCAGCCCCAGCCCAGGTGCTGCTGCGGGGAGAGAGAGCTGGGGGGGAGTCCTCTCTCCTCGCCATAGCCCCGGAGCACCCTCCTGCACCCCAAGCCCCTCATCCCTGGCCCCACCCGAGAGCCCGCACCCCCAGCTGGAGCCCTCACACCCTGCACCCCAGCCCTGAGCCCCTCATCCCTGGCCCCACCCCAGAGGCCGCACCCCCAGCCGGAGCCCTCATCCCTCCGCACCCCAACCCTCTGCCCCAGCCCTGAGCCCCCTCCCACACTCTGAACCCCTCGGCCCCACCCACACCATATGAATTTTGTTATGTGCACCAACATGAAGGTCATGTGTCACACATCACCTCCATAGTGGTGTACATAATAAAATTTATTCCGCACATGAGTGGGAAAAATTAGAGGGAACACTGGCAGGAGACCCCAGGGTAAGTCGAGAGCTGATCAGTCTCCAGTTTACTGGAGCAGAGGCTGCCCACCACTTGTCATGCAAGAACTTCGCCCCGGCTTTGGAAGACCTACCTGGGGATGATGACAGTGTGGTCTCCTGTGCTTTCGGCATGCTGCTCTCTTGTCTGAGGGCATTACCTCCATCCTCCTCCCCCTCCTCAGCCTGGCCTTCGTCAGTGTGCTCCGGGGGCAGGGCAGGGCTCTGTTGTAGCCCCTCTTCTGCTGCTGGCTCCTCTTTTTGCACAGGGGAGCTTTTCCTTGGTGCCTTCAACCTTGTTTTCTTTGCCTGCTTAAGACTGGGCTGTGGCGAAACCGCTGGCAAACTTGAGAGCTGCGTTGTAAATTCCTCTGTGGATGGCGCACAGCTCAGCTCCCCTGCAACAGGAATGGGCTGCAGGGGGGACTCCAGGGTATTGCCATCACAAAGCGCAGCAGTGGCAGCAGCACAATCATCTTTTAGGTCCCCAGAGTCATATTTTGGTTTATCTTCCCCTTCTTTCCAAGCTTCTGGCACAATGTCTTCCCTAGCCAGCACAGAGGAGTCCCCATGCCCATCCGCCATGTCCTGGGAAGAATGTGCCTTGTACAGACCCTCCAAATCCCCTGGTTTATCTAGAACCATCAAGTCAGTGGCTTCATCCAAGTCATCTAAGACACCAGGTTTCTCCAGAACATCCAAGACACTGGGTTTATTTAGATCAAGATTGTTTGATTTGCTTAGGTCAGCCAAACTGTCTGCTTTCACCAAAAGGTCTAAGTCCCCATCTGCAGTGACCTGCTTGGTCTGATCCCATTCCATCACAGGGGGTTGAAGACCTGACCCTTGCTGTGTAGAAGCTGTCTGGGAGCCCAGAAGGTCTTCCCCAAACTCCATGTCAGCAGGGAGATCACCAATCAGTGGCTTATCAGGCAGAGAAAGTGGGTCCAAAGATCCAGGAAATTCACTGGAATCCATTTAGAAGCAGCAAACAACTGGGAATGAGAAAGAGCCAGAAAGTCAATGTTACAGTGTCTAAATACAGCATTACACACTCTTCCAGGCTGTACCAGGAGATTCCTGGTGGGAATCTAGCACAGACCAGGAGACAAGCGACTCACCTCCACTTCTCACAGTATAACAGGGAGTTACAAACTTCTGGAGCCAAAAAGCTGCCTTGGGCTCTGCCTGACTGGGAATTTACCAACACATGCCTTTGCTCCACCATGGCCAAGATTCAACTACGAGGGTGAGTGAGCATGTTTACAGCAGAGAAACACAGTGAGCTACTACAGAGGAACTGTTCCAATTCAGAGGACGCTGTGTAGCTATCCAGCAATCTGTAATGCGGTAGTGGGACAGGTGCCTCATCGCCCCTTCAGTACTTCACCAGAGACAGACTAGGGGGCAGGAGGGTCAGTTCTCACACAGCTGCCCACTGTTACTACTTAAAATGCCTTTTCTCCCTGCCAGTTCATCTCAACACCAGGAGCCGCCCCTCCCCTGTTCTCACTGTAGGAATCCCCTACAATCTATGTAGCCCACGCCATGGAGACAGACTAACCCCAAGAGCTGGGAGTCAAAAAGCACAGAGACACAAGGACATATCTCTGGGATCCCAGCTGTATAGGTGTAGGAGTTGCGGAGTGTTTGGTTTCTGCAGAAAGAAACCTTCCAGTGGGGAGTAAGGCGGGGTATGAGTGAAGACAGAAATAACCCTAAGAGGCTAAAAACCACTGACAAAACATAACAGAAAATCATAATCTAGTACCTTGGGGAATTACCCTGAAACTGGTACAGAGCAAGCTGGGCAGCAACGATGCACTAATCTGTGCTACCCCTGCTGAAATGAGATCACTTCTGGGCTCCTCAGTACGTGAGAGATTGGAAGTTGAAGTCAAAGGAGAGCCACAAACATGATCAAGGGCTGGAGGAGCTGGAATTATGAGCAGAAACAGAGAGTGAAATACATATGTCTTAGCTAAACAAGGAAAACTACCATCAACTATATGACAGGTGTAAAAACCAAAGAGGGAGAGGGATCCTGGGAAGTGCCCAGCCCGACCAAATCTATGGTCTAACCAGTGCAGCATTCTTTTTCTGACAGGCCAGAACTGGACACTTCAGAAGAAGGAGCAAGAACTCCACAAGAGCAGATGTAGGATAAAGCATCATTCTAATCCCTAAGAGTTAGAAATTGGTCTAAGCTCTGAGGCAGGAGGTTTAATGTGCCTTCCAACTTTCGTTACCAATCACTATTCTAACTTTGGACATTCTCAACGCTGTAAGTGTCCATTCGCGTCTTAAATGGTCAGTGTTTGGTCTCAGTGACACCCTGTGGCAGCAAGTCCCACTGGCTAATTACAAACTGCGTGAAAATGTATTTCCTTTTCTCAGTTTTGGATCTGCCACCTTTTAATGTCATTAAAATGTCCCTTTGTTCTTCTGTCATGAGAAGGGAAAACAGGAGCTCCTGATCCACCTTCTCTTGACCAGTCATTATTTTACAGACCTTTATCACGTCTCCTCTTTAAAGGTAACAATCCCTATTTTTTCCAATCTCTCTTCAGGCAAGCTGTGGCAGCTCTATCACTTGAGTCTCCTAAACTGGCCCCAAAATAGCTAGCAGAGTGCAGGTACTCCTCCTCAGCTTGCTCCATCTGTAGTACCTCTGAGTCTCTTGCCCCTGGGTCCTCTAAGTTCCGGTGGCCAGCACAAGACTCCTCCTCTCACCCTGCGCCATAATACCACTTGGAGGATGCTCCCTATAGCTCTAGCACCTACGAGGAAGGAATTATTACAGCCTTTAGTCCAGCATCCTCTCTGGAGGAGCTGGGACCTGCCACACTAGTTGGCTGTGTAGAAGTCACCTCACAGCTCAGGTGAATGGAGTTCATACGGTCAAAGATGATTTTACTATGAAGAGAAGGTAACCCCCATCAAGCAGCCGACACCTCTTGAGAGGGCTTATTTCACTCCTGTCACAAGCCCACACGGTCCAGCATAGACTATAAATAGGGTGCAGCAAGGATGAACCCTCCAAATAGTGTTCTCTCTCAAACAGGTTTGCAGTGCAAGATGACGAAGGGCAGAGTGAGACTCGATCAGCTCCTTCTTCTCTTCCCATCCACAGCAGAAAAGCCAGGCATCACTCAAGAGGCAGTTTATTTCAAACTAACACACAGGGAATACATGTATGGAGCAGGAACAGACCTGGAGAAACTGTCTTCAGAAGGAGGTAAAAGTCTGACTCTGTAGCCAGACGTAAACATTTTCAGTTATCAACTAAAATAAGAATAGCCAAATATCCTACTTCAGGGTGGCAGCTGAGCACTGCTGCCCTCAGGAAGGGAAATGATTCATCTGGTACTCTCCTTCTCTGAAGACATCATCTCCCACAGCCCTATCTCTTCAGCATGAGAATGGCACAGCTCCCCTTGTCCCATTAGGGCACCAGTAATAGAGAGCCAGGCCCCCTACTACTGTCGCATGCTACTTCCTGCCAAATATAAATGCTGCCCTCTGTCTGTTCCAGGCAGTTCCTCTGGCTGGATAGGAGGTAAAGCTCCCAGGATGAGCCAGTTCAAGAACATAAAATCTAAAATGCGCCTCAGAGAAAGGAAAAGAGGGAAAAAAAAAAAAAGAAGTGCAAGAAAAAAGCCTCTCAATGAAGAAAAGGTCCAGAGCCTTAGGGGAGGTGAGAATGCTCCAGGGAGGAGATCTTCCAAGAAGCAGAACAAGTTAAATAATTTCTCCTTTTCTAAAGATGCCCTCTACCAGGATTCCCACTTCTGCAGAGTAAGAAGTTAGTACACCGCAGCAGCGAGCAGCAATAAGGTCAACACCAGCCCAGTGAACAGGGAGGGGTTTCATTTGATGTACAAAGCAGAGGAGAAAGACACTTCTCAAAACCACAATTAGGTGCAATGTACAAGCCTGCGGAATGAGCCACAGGTGCTAAACACACAGACAAGATTAGCCACTGTATGAAAACACCACAAAGCTTCATTTGGTGGTGGGAAAGTTTGATGTCCTGTAATAGGGGCTAATCAGGCCTAGTTCACCCGTGTTAAGGAGCTTCTTCTCTAGGAAGCCCCCGGCTAGGGTTCCACTAGGTTGCAACTCAGGGCCATTGTTTGGGACAGCCAGAAGCCAGTCCTCCGCAGTCCCTTGAGTTACTACTTGTACCTCTGTAGTCTTCCCCAGCTTCTTTGTCCTGCTCCTCCCTTTGCTGGGTGGGTTGGTTGGTTTGGCAGCTTTTCACCAGCCTGCTGAAGGACTCCTCTCCCTGCAGTCCCCCTCAGGACAAGTCTACACTACAAAATTAAGTCGAGCCTAAGTTACACCAATGTACAGCTGCAACAGTAATTAAACTGCTTTTGCACGTCCACACCACGCTCCTTGCGTCAGTGGTGTGCATCCTCACTACCAGCACTTGCACTGATGCAGACAGCAGACACCACGGGGAGCTCTCCTACTGTACATCTTGCCACCATCTAGCGCAGGATGGTTTGGGAAGGGTTTGCAATGTCTCATGGGGGCAAATGAGTCACTCAGAGGCAACTGGGAACACGGTTTCAACATCCCATGATGCAGTTTTCTCCATCCCATAATTTTATCTGCATCCTATGATGTCTGTAACTCTTTTAAAAAGCCCCACAAATCCACACATCTGCCATGTCTGTGAGAGGCATGGTTCCTGCACAGGTCTGCACTATTTTGTGAGCACAATGCGCCTGATCCTGCAGCATTTGCAGAGCCACCAGAGAAGGTGTGGGGAACATCACAATTCCATGGAGGCTAGCTTGTTGTGGAACACAAACAATTGAAGGTTGTTGCTAGTCTTCACAGAGCAGCTGCAGATGGGGAAGCACCAGTTCTGGGCCCAGGAAACAAGCACTGACTGGTGCGATTGTATTGTTACGCAGGTATGGAATGAGGCACATTGGCTGTAGAATTTTTGGATGGGCAAAGCCACATTCCTGGAAGTGTGTGCAGAGCTTGCCCCAGCCTTCCTGTGCAGCGACACCACAATGAGAGCTGCACTGACAGTGGAGAAGCAAGTGGCAATCGCTGTGTGGAAGATGGCAATGCGAGATTACTGACAGATCAGTAGCAATCTATTTGGAGTTGGGAAATCCACTGTGGGGGTTGCTGTGATGCAAGTTTTCAGGGCCATTAATCACATCCTGCTACAAGGGTTTGTGACTTTGGGCAATGTGTAGGACAGTGGCTGGTTTTGTAGCAATGGGGTTCCAAAACTGTGACAGGGTGGGGTAGATGGCACACATATCCCTATTTTGGCACCAGACCACCTTGCCCAAATACATCAACAGAAAGGGCTACTTTTCTAGGGTATTGCAAGTGCTGATGAAACACCAGGGATACTTTACTGACATCAATGCAAGATGGTCAGGGAAGGTGCGTAACACACATTTTTAACACAGGCCTGTTCAGAAAGCTGCAAGCAAGGACTCTTCCCAGACCAGAGGGTTACCACTGGGGATGTTGAAATGACACTAGTGAACCTGGAAGACCCAGCCTGCCCCTTAGTCCTATGGCTCACAAAGCTGTACACCAGCCCCCTTGACAGCAGCAAGGAGCACTTGAATTACAGACTCAGCAGGTGCAGCATGACAGCTGAATGTGCCTTTGGCCATTTGAGAGGACATTGGCACTATTTACTCACGAGATTACTCAGTGAAAAACATATCCCACTAGGTATAGCTGCCTGCTGCGTGCTTCATAGTATGTGTGAAGCAAAGGGGGGAAAGTTTCCACCAGGGTGGAGGTGTGGAACAGCTGTCTGCTGATTTGGAGCAGCCAGACACCAGAGCTGTAAGATCTCTCCAGGGAGCTATGTGACTCAGGGAGGCTTTGAAAGACCATTTTAATAGAGAGCCACAGTGATGTGTGCTGCTATATCATGCTCTGCCTGGGGTTTTTTTGCCAGCCCAGTCTGAACCTTGTAATGAGTGCTCTGTGTGTGTAGTAATATAACATTGCAAATGCACCTATTGCTATTATCTGTGAAGGTCAGCCCTAGCCATCATATGTTGTGAGCTAATAAAAATGAATTAAGTTTCCATAAATAGACTTTTATTCCAAACAGACATATCTGTAACTGAATGAAACTTTATAAATACAGGGAAAAGAACCTTTGAAGAAGAAAGAACAGTTATTTCCATTTCATATACACATACACCAACTGTCTGTCACAGGGGGGGAGTGATAGGGGTAATGCAGCACCCCTGGATACCACGTGGAATGTGGGAGGACAGGGGTGTGGGGAGGTGCCAGAATGCAGCTCTCTATGGGCTGCAGAGGGAGGTGAGCATGGGTCTGTTGACGCTGAAGATCAACAAGAGTCTTCAGCATGTTTGACACTTGAGAAGCACTAGCATCTCCTATGCTGCACGTCTCTCTCCTTTTCCTGCGCTTTTCTCCTCTCCGCTTTATCCCTGTCCATTCTATCCAGGAGGGTGATCCTCTAAGCCCTGTGCCCGGTATCCGAAGCACTAGAGGCTTGCAGGATCTTTTGGAACACATCATCCCATGTCCTCTTCCTTCTCCTCCTCCTCCTGTGGCACAGCCGCTCTGCTGGTCTGGATGGAGAGACCCTCAAGGCCACATTTCCAGCTGCAAAAGATGCAATGCACAAAGGTACTATTGTGAGTGTATTCACAAGATAAATGGAAACTTGGCATACTGAACTCACTCCCCTTGATCCACACAAGTTACAGGCACTACATTCTCACTTCTCCTTGGGATTCATAGAGCATAGGGCAGTTCCTCTACCTCTATTAGCTATTTCACTACCTCTTCTAGCATGATCAAAAAAGAATAAATGAACAGACAATACCAAACCAATATCAAAGCAAATTGCATACTTACCAGAGGTTCTTTCTCCTGCATCAGGCTTGCCGGTGCTGGACA